TTTACCTAAGATTAAGTGGCCAAATTTGAGAGATTAATGCAATTTGCTAAAGCAGAACCTAAGCCTGATGCACCAATTGCACCAATTTAATTGTAACTTTTTAAATATTGAAAAAAATATATATCATTTAATAGTTAATTAGAAGGAAAAAATGAAGAAAAAATATGAAATAATAAGAAATAAATAATAAAAGCAAAAGTTGAAAATAAAATGATGAGCTAAATTAACAAAGAAAGAACAAAAAAAAAGCAAGCACAATAAAAAGAAAAAGAAAAAAGTGTTTTATTGTTTTTAATTAGTTTTTATAATTAAAAATATCACAATCCAAAACAAATAAACTATTTTTACCCAAGGTCAAGTGTCAAATTTGAAAGATTAGTGCAATTTGCTAAAGCAGAACCTAAGCCTGATGCACCTTCATCACCAATTTAATTTTCACTTTTTAAATATTGAAGAAAAAATATATCATTAAATAGTTAATTAGAAGGAAAAAATGAAGAAAAAATATGAAATAATAAGAAATAAATAATAAAAGCAAAAGTTGAAAATAAAATGATGAGCTAAATTAACTAAGAAAGAACAAAAAAAAAAGCAAGCACAATAAAAAGAAAAAGAAAAAAGTGCTTTATTGTTTTTAATTAGTTTTTATAATTAAAAATATCACAATCCAAAACAAATAAACTGTTTTTACCTAAGATTAAGTGTCAAATTTGAGAGATTAATGCAATTTGCTAAAGCAGAACCTAACCCTGATGCACCAATTGCACCAATTTAATTTTCACTTTTTAAATATTGAAGAAAAAATATATCATTAAATAGTTAATTAGAAGGAAAAAATGAAGAAAAAATATAACATTAAATAGAGTAAGTTACTAAAAAAATTTACAAAAAGTGAGTTTTTTATATGCCAGTTTTTCATTTTATAAAATAAAAATTTTAAATATTTTTTATGAATTTTTTTCCATCCTAGGTTTTCAAAATTTATTTTTTTCAAAAGAAATATATGCTATTCTTTCTAAAAATTAGCTTAATTTATAATTTTATAAAGATACAAATTAAATAGGTATTTCACTCTAGTTCATTAGGAGGAAAAAATGAAGAAAAAATATGAAATTATAAGATTAGTTAAAAATTAATAAAATTAACAAAGAATGAAAAAATAAGAAATCATAAAAAAAAGAAAAAGGAAAACAAATCAAATCAAATCAAATAAATTAAAAGAACTTTAATGTTTTAAATTAACTTTTATAATTAAAAATATTAAAATGTAAAACAAATAAATAACTTATATTAAGTGTAAGTTTTAATAGCAAAAAATGAAGAAAATATATCAAATAATAAAAAATGAATAATAAATAAATATGAAAATTAAGTTAAAATATTAAAAATTTTAGTTTTAATAAAAATCAATAAATAATGATGAATTCTATAATAAAAATGATTTATTTAAATAAATTGAAATTAAATAAAAAATATTAATAATAATAAAAGTAATTTTTTTAATTAAATATACTTCAGATTAATATGGAGAACCTAATGAGATAAAAGTGAAGAGCTTTTAAACTTTTTTTATTAATTTATATAAATTTAAAGGATATTAATAAAAAAATTAATAATTACTTGTTCTAAATTATAATATTTTTTAATCTATTATATCATTTATTTTTTTTTTTCAAAAATATTGAATAGCAATTTATGAAATTTAATTAATTAATTAATTAATAATAAATGGTTAAAAAGAACAAATAAATATAATATTTAATTAATTATCAAATATTAATTTATATATTTGGTTTTATGGAGAGATATCTAAGAAAATTAATTTAACATTCACTATTTAAACTTAATATACTATTTCATAATAAGTGACATCCAAATGACGGAATTTTTGAATAGCATCATGTTGCTATATAACCAAATATATTGCCTAACTGTAGTAAATATAATCAAAATTATGTTCAAATAAAAATGTTTTTTTTGAAATTTATTATATTGATTGAATTCCATATTAAATTTATATTGAAATAATCAACGCTATTAGGGAATAACTGAAATCTAGGTAGGATATTTATTCATTTATTAATACATTATTTTTTTAAGTGAAGTTAGAGATTAAAGAAATAACTAAATTTACTTACTGTAAGTAAAATAAAATTATTAGATTTTTTAATTAAATAAATGAATCAATAAATCAGTGTTTATCTAATTATTCAATGATTCTTGTATTAAATTACATTGATTGATAAATTAATTGATTGTTTGATATTTAAGATATTTTTCAAATTATTTATTAGTATTAAACAAATTTGTTTGTCTTTTGTTTATTAATTAATTAATTAATAAATATTTTTTGATACATTCATATATTTATTCATAATATTGATAAATAGATAAACACATTAATATATTCATATCTACATAGCAAATAGATTACTAATTTTGCAAATCAACATAACAAATGTCTATAATTGAAAGAAAGTCAGAGCAGTTTTCGCCCTACAAAAATCAAAAATCATAAGTTAACAAGATTCTGCACCACGTTGATTTGGAATAAAGAAACAGGAATAATAGTTTTGATGGCTAGATAAGATTTAGATAAAAGATGATGCCTTTACAATCTAACGGAAACTCTCCAAAATAGCACGTTTTTTAGAGTAGTCCGAAATTTTAAGAAAATGACAGTTCGCTGCTTAAATAATTTTCCAATTATAGCAATTCGTTAAGTAATTTAGTGATTAATAAAAGTACAGGGGATGCCAGTGGGATTCAATCTTCTTCAAGCAATCCGAATGGGATGAATAGATTTAATAATTTTTAATCTTTTTCTCCTTTGCAGAGAGACAATCTGCAGGAAGATTATCTATTGAAGAACTCAATTATCAAGTAGCCGAACCAGGTTTACTAATAAAACATATTTAGCGTTTCTAAATACACTCCTGAAAAAAGAGGCCTTTCATAGAGTCCTTCTCCGTTTAAAATTAGTGATTTGCAAACAACTCAATTTAATGTAAATTAGTAGAGCTTAGATGTTAAAAATTCAAGAGCTTATCTAAAAGCTATGAAAGCACTTTAAAATAAAGTAAAAGAAGTTGAAAATTTGAAATAAGGCGAAATTGAAGTTCTAAAGCAAACTTTACAAGAAAAAGAAGAAATTATTAAAAAAATTAATGAGCAATTAAACGAGCTAAAAGTTGCTAGCGATAAAATGGAAAAGAAATTAATAAAAGACACTGATATTTTTACTAAACTAGAAAGTAATTTGAAAGAAAAACTTAAAACTGTTGAAAAAGAAAATGACGATTACATCCAACATTGCAATTTTTACAAGTCAGAAATTGAGTCCCTAAAAGAAAAAATAGGTCAAGTTGAATCATTATCTAAAAAGGAAGTTAAAGGCTTACTAAAAGAAAAGTCATAATTAAAGGATTAAATACACTTAGCAAATCAAGAGGAGTAGATTTACAAACAACAAATCAAAGACCTTTAATTGCAAAATAAAAACTTGATCTAAAACATGGAGTCTTTGGAATTAAGATATCGTCATATGGAGTAATCATATAAGAACCAAATAAATAGCAGTGAATCAGATTTAAATAATTCCCTTAAGCAACTGCAACTCTAACTGCTAGAAAAAGACGATTAAATCAGGCGTTTAAAATAAGATAACATCACTCTCAACTCAGATATAGAAATTACCAGGTAAACTAAACTTATAAATAAAATCTATGTATGTATTTATTTACTTCCAGATAGAAAGACATATAACTAAATAAATACAGAGTTAAAGAAAAATAGATATATATATAGAATAAGGAATACGAGAGATAAAGTAATAGAATGATATAAAGATATTTTGGTATGATTTAAAGAAAGAAAGATAGATATTTATGGATAATATATAGAGAGTTAGATAAAGAGACAGATAAATAAATATATATATATATATATACATAGATAGATAGATACAGAATGAATTTTAAATGAGAGAAATAAATAGAGAAAGATTTTTAATATAAATAGATCTAGATAAGGAAGAGATATAAATAAATATATTTAAATGCATAAATTGATAAAGAATTTAATAAATTAGGAGAAATTTGTTTTCTATTAAATTTTTTAAAAAGGAATTTACATTTTTCAATGTTTTTAAATTATTTTTATTTTTGGTTTTTATGATGAGAACAGAAAAATATGTTTTTAGAAGAAATAATAAAATATTTTTAAAAAATAGATAAAAATATGATGAGGTTTGTTCACAATTTGAAGATGAAAAAAGAAAAAATTAACATTTAGAAGAAGAAAATAGATAGCTGAGTGAGAAAATTTAAGAAATAATTCGTGACAATGAAAATATGAGGAGTTTCTGCTAGGCAACAAGGGAAATGAATAATAAGCTTTTAAATTCTTTTTCTACTAGCAGATTAAATGAAACATAGTAAAATTAAATATTTTTTAAGAGTGGAAATTAGAATTAGCATTCATTTTCTCAGTCTGGCAACTTCTAAGCCAGTCAAAGCTTAAGCGAAACTGCAAATAATTAAAATATAATTCTCATTTAAGATGATTTGCAACAATAGCAACAGCTACAACAATAAAATTAAAATAGAAATTCTTCTACAAACTTACTTTAAACAATATCAAATGTAGCATCTGCACTTCCTCCTTCTCAGAAGCAAATTCAAATAATTGAAAATATTGAACCAAATTAATACAAAAATATAGAATCTATTCTAAAGAAAGACAAGTATTACATCAACCAAGGACTTACCTATGCTAACTAAGCTGCTAAAAAGAATGATAAAAATTAATTTAATATGTAAAAAGAAGAACCCATAGAAGATAATTAAGAATAAAAGCAATACAAATATTCTCAATCGAATGTATTGAACTCTTAAAATTCGCTAAAGCACATTTAATCAACATAAATATCCAACCAGCAAAGGTCTCAATATGAAGAAAATACTAAAAGTCTTCAACGACAAGGCAGTATGAATTAAAGAGAATCAAATAGAATTCAAAGAACACTCAATTTTAGTGATTAAAAGCATAAAAATAGCCAAGAAACCTTCAGGACTGCAGCTTAGCTGTAAAATTTTTTATTTATATCTCAACTCTATAAAATTATATTTTAATCTAAATAGCAGCTAATATTATCAAGAAAACAACAATAACCAATAGCTCAAATCGAGATATGAGTACGAACAGGTTATACAAGCTGTTCTAGACACAGAAAAAAATTTAGTAGAACTTAATCACACATACTAAAAACTAGCCGAAGACATATATGTAATTTAATAAATAATGCATTTTGCGATTTTATTTATTTTTGCATTCGCTTTTTTCCTATTGAAGCATTTTTTGCTTTTTATTTATTTATTTATTTGAATTTTTAGAAATAATTTTATTAATAAATTAATTGATTTTATGTTTAAAGAACTTTGAAGGCGATGAAATATATATTACAGTACTTAAAAAGAAAATGCTTGATTTGAAAGAGAAAATATCTATAAAATAAGAATTCTTAGAAGAAATGAAAACAAGAGAAAATATTTTGGCTTAAAGCATCTTAACTAACATTTGAAAAAATGTTACCTACCCACCCACCTACTTACCTATTTTTCCAATTTTTTATTTTAGAGTTTAAATGAAATAATTAAAATAAAATATTTATTTATTAATTAATTAATTAATGAATAAAATTAAAATTAATAGATAAATAAGCACACACAAAAAATTAATATCAATAATTAAATTATATTTAATATAAATAATTATATAAACTTATAAATCTAATTGTTGTTTATAATCTTTTATATAACAGTATATTATCAATCTAAATCGACTTTATAAATAAAATACCAAACTATGTTTTTATTTTACCAACTAAAATTTTAATTAAATTATTATTAAGTAATTTAGTGCTTGTATTAAAAACACTGATATGAATATATAAAATTATTTATTCATCAATAATTTACTCTTAAATTTATTTTTATAACTTTTTTATAGATTCTTGAATAATTTATTTATTTATTTTTTATTTGTTTATTTATTTATTTACATTTAAAAATTAAAATGTTTATATATTTAAAGCGCATATTGCTTTAGTTGTTTGTTAGTTTTTTAATTTATATTTAAAAAAAGAATATTTATTTTGTGATTCTATCATTTTTTCATTTTCCATTGAACTAATTTGTTAATTTCGCTTTTAATAAAAATAATTATTTTTAGTATTTTTAAATAAATTAATAAACGAATGAAAATATTTTTTACTTGTTTATGTTTTCAATTCTTAAGAGACTTTTTATTTTTGTGTGCAAATCACCCTTTTTAAGTTTTAACACTTTTTTTTGGATTTTTTTGCTTTCTTCGTAGAAATTATCAAGCTGAGCTTCTGTGGCTGATGGGATTGAGTCGTCGTTGGATGAATATTCGTCATGGAAGTAGCCTTCGTTTTTTTTATTTTTACTTTAGGGGTTTTCTGATCCTTTCTAGCTTTGCTGTTAGGTGGCTGGACGAGTTGTTTAGTTTCTTTTAATTGCAAGTATTTATGCTTGTTCAATTTCGTATTTGTAGATTTATTAATGCTAAAAATATTTATCTTCATCAAATTTATAAACATTTTCAAGTATTCCTTCCTTAGATTTTTATTTTTTATTAATTTCATTTTATTTAGCATACAATCTTGATTGCTGCGAGACATTATTATTTGGATTGTATTTTTTATCACTCCTAAATGCAAAACTAGTGTTGCTTGAATACTTTTAGAATTATGAAGGTGTATCAAAATTATTATTTTGGGCTTAATTTAAATTTGAATATAAAAGAACACCTGATGGAGACTAAGCTGGCGTTTAATCGTTTCTTAAATTTTATCTATCAGTTAGCATTGCTCCGCTGCTGCTGCTGCCGCCAGGTGGAGCACTTGTTTTGAAAGTGGTTGAAAGGGAGCTTAAAGATTTGTTGTGAATGCTACTAACGCTGAATTTTTATGGACTTGATTACTGAAATTAATCTATTTATTTTTGATTTTTAAGGTATTATTATATTCGGTCAGTATTACTATTTTATTGATTATCTTTTAAATTTGATAGAAATATTTAATATTAAATCTTTTCCATTGAAATTTGGCTTCCATTATTTATTTCTGAATTTGAATGTCTATGTTGGAATGATATGTGACTTTATCTATCAGTTGTCTGTGGTAAGTTAGCCAGCGAGTTGATGCTATTCAGATCTATTTAGTTTACTTTACTTGCTCTTTTTTATTCTGGGATATTCTGCTACAAATGAAGTGTGGTGAATGAGCTCAGTGATTGTTTAGATTACATAGGATTCATTGTGCTCACACTTGCTATTTAATTTTAAAAGCTGCTTGGTATTGTCACTGTTTCTATGTTAATGGAGCTGTCATTCTAATTATTTTGTTGCTACTGCTAAATTGAAATGGAATTAGCCTTTCTTTTCTGAGTTTCATTAAAATTACTAGAAATAACTTTATTTGTTGAACTCTTTTAGCGACTATCTAATTATCTGATGTAAGGAGAATTTTCTTAGCTAAAGTAATTGCCGTACTCCGCAATGCATGGTATAGGAATTCCGTTTTTATCACTTGAATTATATTTTCCACTTAACTTTGGCTACTGATTAGGTCTTCTTTTCTATTCAAGGTGACTGAATCTGCTTAAGGATTTGCTATCGTTGGTCTGCACGTAATCATTAAACTAACTGATTTCATTATTATTGTTTCTGCTTGTTTTTGCTTCTTTATTATAATTGCTAGAAAAGTTCTTCCTAAAAGGTGATGTTGAATTGTTTTTATAGTAATTTTTTGTTGTTTAGCTTTACATTACTTCTTACGCTGGATTAATGTAAACTGATGGATCTTAGCTATCGATATATTATAATTAAAGATTTAAATTCTAATCATTCATTTAGTTGCTATTGAGCATACTAAAGCCACTCTAATTTTAATTTATCGAAGCCAGCTATTTCTTAGCTTTTTGAATATTCTTTTCTTGCAGCAATTTATTAATTCTTTTCTATTGCTGAATTTCTGATAAATAATTTTTAGCCATTTCAGGAAGGGCTTTTCTAATAATAACTTTGTCAGCCTTAATGTCTTCAATGATTTTATTTTTATTCATATTGCTTTTCTTCATTTATTGTTCAAGATTGTTGCTCTTTCTCTCAAACATAATCCTAATATCTTTCAGTTTTTTCATTAATTTAAAAGGCTTTGAAGCGTAGTGAAGATCCGATTCAGAGCAGATCTTGCACTTCTTCAATAGATCGATGAATTCAGATTTTTTCTTCTTTTGTTAATCCAAATGCGGTTGCTGCTTCTATTGCTAATTAGCAAAATCCTCCTAGATTAAATCAAGATCAATAGCATATTCGTTTTAAGCCTTCTTCATCTCATAATCGAGATATTCCTTTTGAATATCTAAGAGAGTGTTATGAAAATTAAGTTAAGATTAAGACTGATTTTTAATCTATGTCTAAGCAACTTTGATATCTGCTTTGTGCTTCCTCAAATTAGTCTTTTGCAAGCTGAGCAAATTGTCTTCTCCTTCTCTCTTTTTAAACTAATTTCCATATTAACCACTCATTTAATTCTTAAGAAGCTTTTATCTAGCAGAAATTTAACTATCACCATTTTCAACTTAATTTTATTTACTTGAAAAATCAGATTAAACAGTTTAAAGATTCTCCTTTTTGCTCTAAGAATCCGTCACACTCTAAAAATCATGATCCACAGATCTTATATCTATAACATCTTCATCAATCAATTGTTTAGTCTCTTGAATAAGTTTCTAACGCAAGATGGAGAGCTTCTTCATAATCTTTAACAAATAAATTAATAACAAAAGTCAGCAAAAAGTAGATAGATAGATAGATTAATAGATTTAACTAATAATTATTAATTGCAATATCGTTTAAATGAAAGTAAGTATTATTAGTTAATTAAATAATTAATATTATCACTGAATATGATTACAAAGATATTGTTTTCCTTTTCAAATTGAGGTTGAAATACCAAAACAATTTCTTTTAATTAAATTTTTGCAATTTTTTAGTTATTAAAATCAGTGATTGAATATATATATCCTGTCCACCAATCATTAAAATAATCTCTTCTTTTCGCAATAAATTTTTTTTACTAGTGTGTGTGATAATTTTATATTTTTAGCTGATTATGACTAATAAATGTAAATATTTACCATTCAAATTATTTTTAATCTTATTTATATCATTAATAATCTAATTGTTTTAAACAAAAATTATTCACAAAAACTAAACCTAGTTAATTACATATTTTTAATTAAAACCTCATAAAAACATTATATCCTCTAATATTTATTTGCAAGTAATATATATATTCATCTTATTAAATAAATCAATATGAGTTTACAATCAATCTTTCTTTTATTTAAACATTTTCAAATTATATTTTTAATTTTTATTCACTTTAATTCAATAAAAAAATATATTCTTTAAAAAGTTTTAATTAGCATTGTGAATTTAATTTTATTTACTAAAATTTTTTACAACGAACTCATTAGTTTAATTTTTAGAATTAATTGAGTAAACACAAAAAGAATACAAAAATGCAGTATATATTAATATTAGCAGGATTACTTTCAGAATAAAATAAGAATTCTTTGAAATAAGAATTTTTATGAAATTTCATTCTTTAAAAATAAATTTCATTAAATTGTTTTTTAATGTTAATTAATTAATATAAAAATATTTTTTTAATGTTGGAGATAAATTAATTTGAGAATAATTTTTAAAAAATGATTTACAAGACTTAGAAATTAAAAATTTGATTAAATATTGATTAAAATTAAAATGTGAATAGAAAGATATAAATAGCTGTTAGAAAAATTTCTAACAACATATTTTAGAATTACAAATAATTTAAAATTTTTAGAGACCAAATTTCAATAAATAAATAAAAAATAATATTTGTTTTGATAGAATTTGATAATAGTAGAGTGATAATTAATTAAAGGAATATATAGATATATAGATAGGATCGATATATAGATAGAGTTATTAAAATTTGTATTAATAAATGATAACTGAACAGACGACCAATTAAGTAGAAAGTAAATTAAAATGTCTAAAGGTGCTCTTTATTAATTTTTTTTTTTAATTTAGAGAGGTCTCCTATATTTAGTATTACAATTGAAATTGCTGAGGAGAAACACCATCTGCATATTTTTAAATATGATACTCCTTCTCAAATAGCTTATAGATTTTGCATTCAGAATAATTGGGATTTGGCATGCGTTACTCCAGTTTCTAAAAAAATATAAGAAGTATTCGAATAGTATCTGAGGAATCCTTAGCTGGAACCAAAGTTAAGAAGGAAATTAGAGTAAATTATACCAAATGAAGGTTAAAACTCAAAGTAAAATTTGGAGTAGAACACAAAAGGTATTTAGAATAGTATTTAAGAGTAGCAAGATAAAATAAAAACGCTAAAGGGTCTTACTATAACAGATGAGAAAGATAGCAATTAAAAATAGGCAGAATCTGTTTATATTTAAAAGTAAATGGGGAATTAAATGCAGGAATAAGATATGATTAGGTATTCCAAAGTAAATTAAGAGGATTTAAACAGTTTCAATGGAGTTAATCATGATTTAGATAATCGAAATAGAAATTTATATTTGTTGGATTATAGCGGGGTTAATACTCCTTAGAATAACAATACCAATAACACTCATCAGTAGAATAATAGGAATAGCAACGAATTTAATAAGTTTTAGCAAAATATGATGGAAAAGAAGGAGTCAAGTGGCACTCTGCAGAGCAATTAAAGCAATTCAAAAAAATACTTTAATTACAGTTACATCGCAAATAAAGTTTAAGAATAGGCTATGAAGAAAATTGATGAGAAGAAGCAAAAATCAGAGCAGAAAAAGAGATCTAATTCCCTTGACAACACATCTTCTTAGAGCTAGTTAAATTTCAAGTGTGTTCCACCTCCTCCACTGCTAAATTACAATTAGATGAGTAAAGATTCTTCTACAAGGAATATTCAGTTTTCTGAAGTCATATCAGTTCCTTTTAAAGATGCCAATTCTATTTAGTTTAGAGATACGCACTCAACTAATTTAAAGGAAAACCTTTCCTCTAATCTATTCAAAGAAGGATTAAGCGACTCTCGCAAAAACATTTAAAATTTAACTAGCTCCAAGTCGCAGAATCAAAACTCAAATAGCAAAATAAATCCTTACTCTAAAATACTGAGAGAACAAAACTAGAATGGTAGTTACAATGAGATGAATTATTTTAGAGGACTTAAAGAGTCTTTTTTAAATGGGTAAAATTATTCAAGTGTTTTGAAACAAATGCAAAATGAGTCAAAAAGCAAGGGCCGTGACTCTAAAAGTAGCTTGGAAAGAGCATCGTAACAGAATAATATAAAAAAAGATTAGGAAAATTGGAGAGGAACTAGCAGTTCAATAAACATGAAAGATTTTATAAACAATTAGAATTGCTTTAGTAGTTCATAAAAGCCTTAAATAGCATCAAATCCTTAAATTAACAGCGAAAATAAAAGCAAGTATAAAAATTAAAAATTAGAAAGCAACTCTCTTGGAAGAAACAATGGGAATAATTCAAGTAATTTAAAGTAAAACAAAAAATAAATGCAATCAGGTTCTTTAAGTCCACCAAGAAGCACAAGAGGCTTAGACAATCCTACACTCTATGAGAGAGGAATACATTTTCTAGATTAAAAATAGAATAAAATCGAGTAATTCAAACAAAATACATGGGACAGAATGATGAGCGCATGCACATTTATTCCTTAAACCAATCAAAAAGCGAACGAACATTTGCTGCAATATCGCGATAAAAGCATGGATCCTTACAATTAATTGTACCAAAACTCAAAAGTTATTTAAATTAAAAAAGACCTTATAAAAAATAAACTTATGAACTAAGAAATCAAAGAATTTTCTTTTAAGCCAAGCCTGAACCCAATCAGCTAATTAATCATTAAAACTAAAAGATAAAACTCAATCAGTGAAAACACTTCAAACTTTGAGAATCAAAAAACAACCAAAATCAGCCAAATTCAATAAGAAATGCTAAAGGAATGCACTTTCCACCCTAAAATAAGCAAGCACAGTGAGAAAATTCATAAGACTCACAACGGCAACACGAGTGTCTATGACAGATTATATGTCAAAACAAATAAAAAGAACTCAAAGGGAGAAAAGCAGCAATCCTAATAATAATAATAATAATTGTAATGCAACAATCAAAGCTACTAAAACAGTTAAAGTTAATAAAACAGCTCTAACTACTAAAATACTCAAAGCTATTAGAACAACTAAAGTTATTTGAACAACTAAAATTATTATAATAACAATTAATTTATTACTTATCCAGACCAAGAAGGAAATAATTATTTCAGCGAAAGCACTTAATTTAATAACTAGAATAACAATCAAACTCATATTTAAAACTAGGATTCATATAATTAGCAATACTTTAATTCTACCAATTACGATGATGCTCAAAATTAATAAAATGGCTATATTAATAGCAATAATTACTACAATCCCTAGAGTGAAAATGCAGGAAATGTTTCATTTTCGTAAGATAAACATGGCTATTTATCTTATCAGTAAAATCCTTATTAGCAATAGCTTCTCAGTAGTGATTTCTTTAACAACAGCTAAGCATCTAATAACAGCAACTCATTACAATTTTAAAACAACAACAACAGTTAGAATAATAACAAATTTAAATATTTTAATAATAAAAGCTAATAAATGAGTTCGACATTAACAAATTAGCAACATCAAAACACATTTAATTAAAATACTTCTAACAATCTCTCATTGGTAAACTAAAGTGATTTGAATCTAAGCTCTACATAAATTAACTTCAGTTAATAAGCACTTTAAGATTTAGTTCATACACAGGACAATTTCAAAAATTTGCATAACGATTTATAGAGCAGTGAACAAATAAACTTCCTTCCTAATTAAAATGATTGCAACAGAAGCTTTGGAGATACTAAAAATAATAACAGCTTTATAGTAAGTAAAACATAAAATAATCCAAGTCAGGCTAGTTCTTAGGGTAAAAAGATTGTTTAGAATAACAGCGCTTTTAATAGCTAAAATAGCTAATTTAAAAATATGGAAAGACAATCGCTGAACGAAAGCAGAGACAACAAAAATCCAAAACCTAAAAAAGATTCGTCAGAAAATGCTTACAAGAGGAGTTTCTCGCCTAATAAAAACTCAATAGCTCTTATGGAGAAAAAAAAGAGACAAAGATTTGAAGAAATATTTATTTTGCTTGACTCCGATAAAGATGGTTTAATCTCTGCTTAAAATATAAGCATTTAAGACTTACCAGACGAAATATTGGTAATCATAGCACCTCTTTTATATGAATTAGAAGATATGGATGCTGAGTTAACCTTGTTAGAGTTTATGGATGCCTTTGAGAGGTTATTCAAGTAGCTATCCTTAATTGATAAGAATAAATTACTCTTATTTGACACATATTAAAAGTGGTAATATGAAAAGATATAACTCCATTAAAAAGACGCGAACTTCTAGCCATAAATTAATCCTTAAAGTGAAATAATTGCATAAATCTCTAGACCAGAAAGAGGCTCTGAAAACCTATATGATCTATACAAGGAAAAAGATAGAATTTGTGAGGAAAAACTAATGCAAAAAAGAAGGGAAAAAGAAAACGAAATAAATTAATAATGCACATTTCATCCTAATATCAATCACACTAACAATTTAATAGAAAACAACAAAACTGTTAAAGACCCTAGTTAAATCAATACATGTTAAAAATCATTTTAAGAATTTATGTAAAATCATACAAAGATAATTTGATTTTATTTATTTATAAATTTATATTAATTGTAATTTAAATCTTTATTTTAATTAATTTAGTTAATCATTTTCAATTTCATTTTTTCAAAATATTAAATCATTCTTTTTTAAAGAAAATGAAAATAATATTAAAAAATTTTTATTTTTATTGAGAATAAATTTAAAAATATTCAAAAAAAAAAAAACATTTTTGATGTTGCAAAATTTGCTATTTTTAAATATTTTTATATTTTTTTAATCAGGATTTAGAAATTTTTTATAAAAAGTGATTTGCTAAATTAAAAAAATAATTATGGTATTTATAAATATAAAAATAATGATAAATCCATCTATATTTTAGGTAAAATTAACAAACAGACTACAAAATATTAAAAATAAAACATATTTAATATATTCAAATATTTTTATAAATTTTCCTAGTTTTTTCACAATTTGTATCACTACGCTTTTAAGACTACTAAATTTTTTGATTTGAGGCACTTTGTTTTGAATTATTTTGATTAGATAATGATTTCGCTTTTTATATAAATTAGTATAAATTACTAAAAAAATAAATATAATATTTTAAATCAATCCACAATAAAAAAGAAAACTAAATCAAATAAAAATTTTTAAATAAATTAAATAATTAAAGAGCTAAATTGAATTTTAAATTTTAAAATTTCGCAATTTGAAAGATATTAACCGTTTTTACTTTAGATCAAGTGCCAAATATGAGAGATTACTGAACTTTCCTATCCTAAGCCTAATGCACCTGCATCACCAATTTTATTCTCCCTTTTTAAATATTGAAAATTCTAAATAAAAAAGAAAAAAATATATCAAATTTAAAGCAAATAAATAAATAAATTCAAAAAGTTAGTTAGCTAGTTATATTGTTTTCAATTATTTTTTATATTCAAAAATATCACAATCCATCCAAAACAAATAAACTATTTTTACTATAGATAAAGTGTCAAATTTGAGAGATTAGTCCACTTTCCTAAACCAGAGCCTAAGCCTGATTTACCTTCATAACCGATTTTATACCTTTTTAAAAATTGAAGAAAAAATATATAGTTCATTAGTTAGTTAAAAGGAAAAAATGAAGAAAAAATATGAAATAATCAGAAATGAATTAATTGATATTATAAGCAAAATATGAAAACAAGTTAAATTAAAAATACAAATAAATAAACACAAGCACAATAAAAAAAGAAAATAAATCAAATAAAAAGCAAATAAATAAATTAATTAAAAGAGTTAGTTATGTTATTTTCAATTTATTTTTATCTTCAAAAAGCATCACAATCCAAAATAAATAAACTATTTTTACCTTAGATTAAGTGTCAAAGTTGAGATCTTTTTGCAATTTCCTAAGTCAGAAACTAAGCCTGATGCACTATTATCACTAATTTAATTCTAGCTTTTTAAAAATTGAAGAAAAAATAAAGAGTTAATTTGTTATTTAGAAGGAAAAAAATGAAATAATAAGAAATTAATTAATCAATCAATAATTTTAGCAAAAGTTAAATATAAAAAAATTAGTTAAATTAAGAAACAAAGATAGATATAAATAAAAAACACAAAAGAAGAGTAAAAAAAAGAAAAATAAATCAAATAAAAAGCTAATAAATAAATTAAAAGATTTTTCTATTTTGTTTTCAATTCATTTTCTTATTAAAGAATATCAAAATTCAAAATAAATAAACCGTTTTTACCTTAGATCAAGCATCAAATTTGAGAGATTAGTGCACTTTGCTATACCAGAACCTAATCATGATACAATTTCATTTTATCTTTTTAAATATTGAAGGAAAATGTTTAGTTAATTTGTTAGTTAGAAGAAAAAATATTAAATATTAAGAAATTAATTAATTAATAATAAAAGAAAAAGTTGAAAATAAAAAAATTAGTTGTTCAAACAAATAAATAAATAAGAAAACAATAGTATAAAAAATAAGAAAAATGAATAAATAAAAAGCTAATAAATAAATTAAAAGAGTTTGTTATAATTTTTTTCAATTTATTTTTATTTTCAAAAATATCAAACTCCAAAAAAAATTATTTGTTTTACTAAAGACAAAGTGTCAAATTTGAGAGATTAGTGCATTTTGCTACCAGAACCTAAACCTGATGCACCCTCATCACTATTTTTAAAAAACTTTCCAATAAGAAAAATAAAAAAAAAAAAAAACACCTAATAAATACATAATAACAATATAAATAAAAATATATATATATATTAAAAAATTTTTTAATTTTAAGATGTAATCTGAGTGCATTTATATGTGCGAGTATTTCTATTCTATTCTATTACCAATTTTATTTTCCCTTTATAGTATTTAAGAAATAAAATATATTTAATTAATTATTTAAATGGAAAAAATGAAAAAATATATTAAATACAAAAATAAATGAATTAATTAAAAAGAAAAGCAAAGATGAAAATGAAAAAATTAGTTAAATTAACAAATAAAAAAACAATCAGATTAAAGAAAAAAATAAATAAATAAATAAAATAAAAAGCTAATTAATAAATAAAGTAAAAGAGTTAATCATATAGTTTTAAATTAATTTTTAAATTCAAAAATATTATAATCCAAAACAAATAAGCTGTTTTTACCAAAAATTGAGTTCCAAATTTGAGAGATGAGTGCACTTTCCTAAAACAGAACATAAGTATGATGCACTTTGATAGAAAAAGAGGTTTTTAAAACTAATATTTAAAATAAGTATATACATACATAAATATAGTTTTAGATTTTAATTAAATTGCTATAAGCTAAATAAATCAAAACAAAATTTTTTGCATAGATAATTATATAAATGAAGCTTAATATGTCAAACTTTTTGCTATTTTGGATATAAAAAACAATAGAATTTAAGAATATAAACAGATATAAACATCTTTTAGCTTTTTTTGAAGCAATCAGACAGATAATTTAAACAAAATTGAGTTACTTTTTCCTGTAAATAAGAAGTAAGCAAGAAATTTAATTTTTGGAGATAATTAAAATTAGACTGTAAAAAATTTGATTTTTGATGGAAGTGATTCATTCACAAAGCAAAGTTCTATTCTAATTAAAATAAGTTAAGTAATATTATCAGTTTAAAGACCAAAGCAATTAATAGAACCGCAAAGGCAGTAAACTAGAGTTCTATGCGTATAGGCAATCTATAGATTTACTGATTAACAAAAGTTAAGTGCTATTACTAATTGAAATTAAATTTTAGTCAATTGAAAATTCATATTGAAAGAAACTAAAGAGAGAAAAAAGAAATTTTGAAAACAAATATAAAAGTAATTATATACATAAAACATAAATACACAAATATAGCTTTAGATTTTAATTAAGTTGTATTAAGCTAAATAATTCATGACATTTTGTAATTGTTTGTTTTTAATTTTTTTGGTTTTAATCTAGATTTATAACATTTATTTTTTATTATTAATTGATATATTTATTTTGATTATTATAAAGATTTTTTTTAAACAGCTTGTTAATAGAAAGATTTACAAATATCTGTAAGTTCATTCTTAATAGTTTGGAGAGTTTAATTAGAAAGAATAAAGATATTTTATTAAATAATTTGATTTTCCATTTGCTTACTTAAGTGTACGCTTAATTTTTTAGTTTAAAGTTAGACAATATTTTAATATTAGAGAGAGCTATTTAGTTTTTTACTGTTTAATACTATTCACACTATGAAAGCTAATCAGAATTTTCCCTAAAAGTACATACATCCTATTTTGTTTTGTTTTAATTATTTAAACAGATCAAACAATCAAATAAACAAATAATTTAATTTGGTTATTGCTAGTTTGTTAATTTGTTTGTTTTTAAGAGTGAGTGAGTGAATGATAGATGTTTTAATATGAAATTTTAAATTAGTTTGTTAGTATTTGTAAATTATTTGATGAATATGTGAAGGGATATATCCATTTTTAATTAAAATTATTGAAAGTATCTAAAATCTATTTAGATTTATTTTTCTTTATTTGACTTATTATTCAAAGTTGTAGTTTTCCTTCATTTACCAATTATTGTATTTCCTCTTATGAGAGCCATCTTTCTCTTTTTCCTTCAATCCATTCTCCAACTTTCTTTTCTCCATTAGTTAATTGGTAAACACCTATTCCATGTTATTTACCATTAATCCAAGTACCAACATACTTTCTGCCGTCTTGCCATTTAAAAACACCACTTCCATGTTTTTTATCATCTCTGTATTCTCCTTCATATGACTTTCCATCGCTCCATTCTATTTTACCTTTTCCATGCATCATATTTTTTTTCCATTGGCCTTCGTATTTTCTACCATCAGGCCACTTATAGACACCAACTCCATGTATATGATTGTTTTCAAACTAACCCTCATAAATAGATCCATCAGAAAACTTAAGTTTGCCTGTGCCATTTTTTTTACCGTCTACATAATCTCCTTCATATCTGGCACCATCAGTCCATTCTTCAATACCTTTACCATGCTTAAAAACAAAATATTTTAATTTTTATTTAAATTTTTTTTCTTATTTAATTAATTTCTTTAAAAAATAATCAATAAAGCAACTATTTTTTAATAAACTTATTTGGCATTTCTAAAATAAAATTAATTTTTAAAATTAAAACATCTAATTTCTTAATTTAAGAAAAAATTAAAAATCTTTTTGTTATTATTAAATAAATTAAAATTGATTTCTTTTCACTTAATTTTTTCTGACTTATAAAATTTGAAGTGATTTTTTTCACATTTCAAATATTTTAGAATTTTTTGATAATTTTATTGAAAATTTGCTATTGTAACTGAGAATCAAAATTTAATTTTATTGAAAATTTGCTTTTTTAATTAAAAATTAAAATCTAATTTTATTAGAAATTTGCTTTTCTAACTGAGAATTAAAATTCAATTTTATTGCATTTGATAATGTTTAACTTTTAGAAAATATTTTAATTAGTTTTTGTGGGATTAGGATTGAAATATTAGATTTTCTTTTGCAGAATTTCATGCTAATTTGATAAATGTGAATGATTAAATTTATAATATTTAAGATGCTTTGGAATTATTTCATGTGCTATTTTGAATGTATATATAAAACTTATTGATTATCTAACTAACTATTAATATTTTATTTTATGAATAAAAATTACTTGCTTGTCGTTTTTCCAATATCCTTCGAATATTGCTCCGTTTTTATGTCTGTAAACTCCTTTTCCATTTGCTTTATCATCTTCCCATTCGCCTTCGTAAATATCACCATCAGCATGAATGAGTTTTCCTTTACCACAACTTTTATTTTGTTTCCATTCTCCTTCATACTTGGATCCATCTGGCCAAAGTTACTCGCCGTGACCATCTTTCATTTTATTAAACCACTCTCCTGTATAAACTGCTTAATTTTCTAGAGTGATTGCTTCTAACTTAATTCTTTTTCCTACTGACTAATCTAGTGGATCAACTTTTTATGGCTATGGGATTTCTACTTTCTATTATTCTGTATCTTTAACAGATTGTATTTCTTCTTTTGTTTGAATGTTATTGATTCCAGCAGCTGATTCAGTAATATTTCTCTGCGAAGTTTTCTCTGCACCATCCATATTATTTTAGTTATTTGTTGGTAACCTTTATGATTCTATAGCTTTTTGTGATTATTTTTCTTCAGTAATTTCATGTTATGTGGGAGCTGCACCGTCATTTACATTTCCCTAAATACTTGCATTTGATTTCTGATTATTAGAGTTGTTAGGCTATGTCTAAAGTATCTATGATTGCTATTGCTGTTAATTATTTTCAATGGACTACGCTTCATCGTACTTGCTATTATATTAATACTTGCTATTTGATTCATTTTAGTTCTAAAATTTAACATTTGTGCTTATTTCTGATTTGTAGTTCTCTTCATCTCTAGATTGAGCATTCTTTTATTTCAATGATGGACGAATATTCTCTTTAAGCTTTGAAGATTAAACTTCAACACCTTTAATTTCACTTTCCCTCTCTTTCTAAGCGCAACATGCCGAATTGCATGCACCCATTTTATTATTTATATATCACGTTCGCTGTTATTAAGAAAGAAGTTATTTATTTATTTATTTGTTTCAACCCTTTAATTTATCTATTTATTTATTTAGTTTGTTTGTTAGCTATTGTGTTAATTATCAAATAGAATTGTTTATTCTTGTTATTTATTACACTAGTTGTTTATATACCAGATTTTCATTCTTATATTTATTTAATTATGAATTCTACGTAGACCTAAAATTTGATAATCTCACTTTCTTCATAAAATCTTGCAGTTAACTCTCAAACATGAGAAAAGGTAAGTTGTTAATGTAGTCGTTGATTTTTCTTTCCAAATTCTTAAAAAATCAGTAAAGAATTGTGTAAATTTTCTATAAAATTTCACTTCTAAAATAAAATAAATAAATAAATTATTCTCTTTTTATCTATAAATAGTATTTAGCCATTATTTAGCCATTATTTATTAATGTATATTTTTAATAATTCCCATTCAAATTTACTTGCACAAGAACTCAGATTGGATCTAGTTCCTTTATATTGGTTGTTTAGATTAATATTGCTAGTATATAAAGCCATTAAGCAAAATATTGAAAAAGAATTTACCTAAAATTTTAAAAATGAGTTCATCACACTGATAAAAATCATACAAAAATAAGTACTTAAAAATTAATATAAAATGAAGTAAAAACTAAATAAATTCAAATTATGCTAAAACTTTTAAAAAAAATAAAGCAAATAAAAAAGTATTAAAAAAGCGCATTTTGGATAAGCACAGTAGAACATACTTGTTATAAAATAGAAGTCAAGCATAGAATAAAGTGTCTTAAAATAAGCTGAGTAAACTGTAAAAGCATACAATAAGTTAAGTAAATATTAATTTTAATCTAAAAAAAAGATTCTAAAAAATACTAAGTAAATATTTTAAAATTTAATGAATGAATTATTTAATGGTATAGAAAAAAAGAAAGATTTTAATATTTTTTTAACGGAATCCATTCAAATGCAATTAAAAAATAATTAAAATTCAAGATAAAATAAAAATGAGCGGATATTCGTGACAAATAAATAATATAAAAAGGCAGAAGTTTACAAAAAATAACTCAAGAATGAAGTTAATATGTTTGACTATTTTGTAATCTATTTTTTTAATTAGATTTAAAATCATAATTTTGATTATACTGCTAGTATTATTAATTTTATACTGTTGAATCTACAATAAAATCTTAGTTTCTATAATCAATATAGTCTGCGAACTATTGCTTTTCAAGCTGTTGATTTTTTTAGTATTCTTCTGAAGCACTTATTAGTACTGCTTTTAAATTGTCCCAATTCTTTAGTTTTGAGTCATCTATTTGTAATCCTATTTCTCTCAATTCATTTATGCTCTCATAGATCTAATTAATTTTATAAATTAAAATCATTTTATAAACCAAATTTAATATTTATTTATTTATTTATTAATTCTTCTAATTAGTCTAATTTTCTTATAAAAATAATATTTATTAATTAATTATTTACCTGTCTTTCTTGAGTCTTCATCTTATCTCTGAGATCGGTCTCAACGCCACATATTTTTTATAAATTGTTGTTATTGATTTGATTATAATTGTAATCGCCTCCTAGATTTTCAATAATTTTTTATTTAATTTATTTCAATTCACTGCACATTTAAATTAAATATTCATATCTTTCAATTAGTTTGACTAACTCTTCAACTAAATATTAGACATTATCCACTCTTTTTGAGAATCCTATGTTTTTATTTCCTACTATTGAGCCTTTCATTCTGCTTTTAGAAGGGCTCGATTAGGATGATGTTTACATTTAGCTCAAACCGCTAACATTAGAAATCTGTGAAATTTAAAGCTTTTATTTGGACAATATTTTGTGAGGAGACTCATTACTGTTATTCATTCTAGATTATTACATAGAAGATTGATATTCATTTTAGTGAGGTTAATACATATTGTAATTTATTTAGTGACTGCCACTTTAGTAAAAAGTGAAGGTCTCACTTTATTCTGGTTCATTATCAACTTAGCTTCTATTTTATTAGTGATTTATAATATTTTAGTGCTGAATATTTAAGAAATCTTGAATTTCTTTATCTTAATTCATTCTAATTTCATTGTTCCTTTGCTACCTTTGAGGTGAAGCATTTAAATTCATTATATTATCTTCCATCAATATCATGGATTATGGAGGTATGCTTTAATTTCTATTTTTTTATTGCGAGTTATCTCTTTAATGAGGCTCTTTTACATTTTAAGGATCTATTTTTTTTTAATTTTGTAAACCATTTATTTACTTCATAGTAGATTCATTTGGTTAAGGAATCCTAGTCTCTCCCTAAATAGCACTTAAAAAGCTATTCTTTCTATTATCTTCATCGTTAACTAAATTGCTAGTAAATGTTTGGATATTCGAACTAACCTTACTCTATCTGATCGCTGGATTATATTTCTAATTTTATTCACAAATAAATTTATTTCAATTTATTTACCTCAAATTCTCTCTTTGAAGTTTAAAGTTTTAATTTTATTAAAATATTACAAAAATAAGTTATATGAATTTGAAATTTGTTTTGGGATGAAAAATTTGAGCAATAAAACAGTAAAAATTGTATTATATAAATAGAAATTGAAAATAAATATGTTGGGATTACATTTGAATATTTATTTAGGTTTTATCCAACACTTTAAAACTCTAAGTTATTTTCAGTGGGTATGGAAGTGGCTGTATACATTGATTTTGGAGCTAATAACTGATTATGCGTAGCATTAATTTCATTTAAAGTACTACCTATTGCTACACTGCTAGGAGCATTCTTTTAGTATATACTATGTAAGTTACTGTTTATTCTAACTTTTAATTACTCATTCTATTTAAATGATAAATTTTTAAAAGAATTAATTAGTTAATTTTTAAAATAGTTAATTAATTAATTAATTAATTACTTATGGCTTGTTATTTTCTAAAATTTCTTAAACTAGTTATTGCTACTAAGTTTGATATCCTCTTTCATCTTATTAGTAATTTGGATGTTACATTTACCTTATTGATTCTCTCTCTACTTGCTCTTCTAAGTCTTAAATTCTTTCCTTAAGTGCGTTTAGACTATGAACAACCTTTTAGCTATTTATAGATTGTTAGCGATCTGTATTTTCTAAGAGAGCAGAAGAAATCGGAAAATTTCTTGGAAGATGATTATTACTCACACTATATTAGTTCTTGTTTAAGTCATTTTTTGAATTTAACTGCATTTGATTAAAGTCATTATTTGTTCCTAGCTAACTTAATGTATTTTATGTTCTTTTTTTTTCACCAATTTAATTTATTTATGGTGAAAAATGATTTTCAATATTAAGATATTGCTCACTCGGTAAGTTTATTAGTTTGTTAAAGTTTTGATCATTTTTAATCTTTGATTTTTTCACATGTTCATTCAAATCATTAGCACTATTTTAAATCTATGACAGATGAGATCTTTAACTAATTTACTCTTTACTTAGTTAATTAACAGACTCTTATTATCTTGTTTTCCTTATTTAAGGTTCCAAGGAGATCTTCTATTTTATTTCTTCTACAAGGAAAGTTTATCTTTCAAACAAGTCCTTAATATGACCCTCTATTTTAATTTTTTTTAAATTAAGCAATTAAATTAAAAAAATGGATTTCAATTGAAATTATTTTAAATAAAAAAATTTAAAAAAAACAAACAAAATGATAAACAAAATTAATAAATAGAAAACATTTTAGTTAAAATAGATCAAATTAAAATATTTTTATTAAAAGAAAAATTTAAGCAGATTCATTTTTTTTAAATGAAATGAAAATGAAAGTATGATAATTTAATAAATAAATTTTAAATAACTAATTAAATGGATTAATGATTAAAAGAAATATATTATTTACCTATTTAGTGTATTTCTTTGATGTATTCATCTATATACACAGATGCTTAGTTTTTGTTTTGGTTTTCTAATGAAGTGGTTGAAGTAGCGTTTTACTTGAAGTTTATTTACTATTAATATTATTGTTAATTTTCAAATGAGGGAATATTATTTTTCTCTGATTTTTATTACGAATTTATTCCAAATGTCATGTCGTCTTTTTTGTAGCTTTTTTACAATTCAGTGTTGGACTGTCTGAATTCTTGTTTTTTGAAATTTTCATCGAAATTTATATTTTCTTAGGTTTGCCTATTTGAGAGTTTATCAGAATTTTGCAAGAAAGAAGGTATATTTGGCTAAGAATCTCTAATTTTTTATTGGCTGAGTTAGTTCTGACTTTAATGCTAGCTATGTTAGCTTTAGATATTCTCCTATGAATTAATGAATTTTTTAGAATTTATGCTTTACACTGGAAAATGTCCACTCTAAGTTTCTTTTGACTGAGAGATTGCTGCATGATTACCAGAAACTATAGGCTACTCAACAATATCTTATTATACTTGGTCTGCTTGATAAGATATTTCGTGATCCTTTAAACTTTACTCAACAATTGGCATTTGAGGGTCTTCTTAATTAGCAGCACCCAAAGAAGAATTTAGCTAAGCCATTCGTATCTCCAAATCTTGCAAAATGTTTTCTTAGTTTTATTACTAATTTGATGAAGTTAAAGAAGGTTCAATTAATATTTAAACTTTGTAGTTGTTTTGCTACTGCTAATTCTAAACATAATTAAAGAATTTCTTTGAAAAAAAGTTTCCTAACATAGAAAGCTTTTAGAACCTAAATTAATTTGCCCAAGCACCATTGATAATAACATTAGCTCCTACATCTGTTAATTCATTAAAGCTTAAATTTAAACTTTCAATGTACTAAGAATTTTTAATAAAGTATGAAATTGTCTCTGCCACTGAATCATTAATGCGCTACTTGCACAGAGAAAGGTTAACTAATTTTGGTTGAAACAAAGAAAGATCATAAAAAAACTCTCCAATGTTATTTGCCTAAATATCATTCACTGAATCAAGAGATACTTCTTCAATTAGACCAACATTTTATGCTTACTTTAGGTGCTGAATTAATATAGGAAAAACCTGATAAGACAGCTTATTGTCTGAAAGCACAATGTGCTAAAAGATTTTGTGGAAATTCTTCTAAAATTCAAGCATCAATAAAAATCCGTTGTCATCAATTAGGTTTTTAGAAAAATCAATTCTGATAGGCTTATTTGTATACTTTAAATACTCAAGTAAGTCTTTAATTTAGTTTGTTGTCAGATTTAAACTGGTTAATTATAAATTATTAATATTATTGTTATCACTAATGATTTCTCCAATCTTAACAATAATCAAGCTTTAATCATAGTCTGACTCATTATTTCTATACTATATTGATTGCTAACTATTATGAACTCCTTCTTAATTTTAATGAGAGTTTTACAATTACACATAATTTATTAGATCACAGTTAGTAATAGTTAAATTTTCTATGCTAGGCACATATCTAGCAATCAGTTGAATAATTTCTATTTCATTTATTCCTATATTCGTTTAATTCACTATCATATTTCTTAAAGGTTCCTTCTGTTTACAACCTATTTAAAATATTAAATTATTAAAGTAATTAAAAAAATTTATAATTAAAGGTTTATTGAAATATAAATAGATAATTAATCAAAATATTAGATAAAATTTTATTCATTTTAATGTGAGCAGTAATGTAAATGCTTTTAATTGAACAATTTTCTAATTTTATTTTTAAAAGAAAACTCTATAATTACAGATTCCAAATATTTATCAGATTTTTAATTTCAATTAATTATCAGTAATTATGTAATTTACAATAAACCAAATTAATAAATAGTGAAAAATTTACAAGTAATTTATTGTGTTATTGCCCTAAGAGTTCTACTATAATTAACATTTAGCCTTTTAGATTTATCAAGGTAATTTTTCTATTATTGAAAAAGATTAAATGATAATGAATTTAAATTTAAACATAAGATTTACCCACAAAGTGTTTATTTTTTTATTAATATTTTCAAACTCTTGGTAGTAATTTTCCAAAAAATGTAAATTGCTCAAGTTAGTTACACTCATTTACTAACCTAACTTAAATTTAAATGAACTACCAAGTTGAGTGTTATTCTGTATTAAATAATTTTCACACTGCTCGCTAATATAGTTTCCAATTAAATTAACTCTTTACAATTAGGAATTAGGAGACTACTTTATACTTTCAAATATCTTTATAGCTCCATTATCTGTGATATAATTATTTGATAAATCAAGAGATTTTAATTAGCAGTTTCTGCTTTTTAATGCAAGAGATAAAGAATCTATTACTTGATCACCTAGCTTTGTATTACTTAAATTCAAATTATCAATTTTTTAAAACTAAATCGAAATAAGCTAAAATATTTATTTGGCTCCTTTTGACGCTAAAATATTATTGCTAAGATTTAAGCTATTGCAACAATTCTTGAATTCTTCACTGATCATAATTGTCTTTTTATTAAAAAATGTAATCAATTAAAGTTCTATGTTACAAATAAATTTATTTAATAGCTTATGATTGATTGATCGATCAATCAATAGTTTATAATAAATTGAAAATCAATTTAACAGTGAATAACTGATGGATTAATTAATCGATATTATATTATTGATCAATAAATTAACTATCAATTATAGAATGGATCAATTAATTAATTAATGAACTGATCACTCAATTTAAAAATGAATTTATAAATCAAATACCTTTGTTAGATCATTTATACCAATGAATGTCAACATGCAATTAGAAAAATCTATATCAGAAAAAGTGAAGAACTCTTACTTGAACAAGTTGCTTTATTTAAATAGAATAATTAGTTGGTCAATTTAGTATCCTTAAATAAAAAATTATCATTAATTTATTACATAGATTCATCCCCAATAGGATTGTTGCGGATATAAAGCTACTTAATATTAGTATTTCTTTTCATTGTTTCAAGGATAATTTATAGACCGATATACTCTAATTTATTTCCTTCTAAAGAAATGAATTGAAGATTCTGAATAGTTTCAGCTGCATTCATAATTTGACTTATTGTTTGGTTGTCTATAGAACAATATTCTATGTAAATATATTTCAAGTACTTGTGGTGACTTAGACAATCTTGAAGTATACAAGCTCCATCATATCCAATATTGTTGTTAATAATTTTCAACTTTTACATTTTGCACTGCTTACTTTTAATCAAGCTACTTAAGATTGATAACATATTTGTACTTAAGTTGCAATTGTTCATCGATAGCTCAATCAGCTTGTCTTTCTATTTATTATTTTTGTGAATTTGTTTTGTTATTTATTGAAGAAAAAAATTCTACTATTAAAGATTCTATGACCTGAAAGTGATTTTGACCTAAATCGAAATTCTTTGCTCTTAAACTGACATAAAATTTATTCATTCTGATGACCTCGCATATAATTCTAAACATTTCAATTCCTATTTCTCTATCGAGCTCTATTTCTACCCAATTTTTTTCTCTTATTTTCATATTCTAAAATATTAAGATCTTATCTATTTATTGTCCTCGCTCCTAATAACGCATTTTATAACAAAAAAGGGTTAATTTATAAGCCAAAGAAAAGCAAATACTTTATTTATTTAAAATATTATCTAATTACCTAACATAGCTGAATATAAGTTTGATGTAATTTTTCTGATGACTAAAGAACACTATTATCTTTAGCAATATCCTATTATCTATTTACCTAAGCACTAGCAGATGACTGCAAAGAACTTAGTGCAAAAGTATTATTTCCTTGAGAGAAATGCATCTGGATTAGTCTTAAAATTTGAAAATACCTTCCTACTAATAAATTATTTTGTATAACCTAACAATTTTTAGTGCGTTTCTAGAGTTTTTTACTATATTTTGGGATTATTTATTAATAATAATAAAAATTTTTGGCTGAATTTTTGCTCTATGCAGTAAATTTACTTAGTTTAATTATTTATAACGAACTCTTAGAATTTGATTAAATTTGAAGCGAGAATATTTATTTTCATTTAAAAATTATTAACAGAATAAATTTTAATAAATGCTTGTTATAATAGCTGAAAATTATAGTTGTTAAAATTTATCATCAACTATTTATTTATTTATTTTAACATCTTTTTTTACCTTTTTTCATATTTTATTTATTCTATTATATATAACTAACTAAAAAGGTTTTTCAAATATATTCATAAAAATATTTTAACGAAAAAACAGAGCATTAATATTTTTTAACTAAATTTTATTTACATATGAATGAGCAAGCATACTTTCATTTATTTTATATCTATTTTAATACGCTTCCTCTTTATAAAAGTAGTATAATAGCTAAAAACTAATTTCTTTAAAATATATTCTCTTGAATTCTTAATAAAAACTATTTTTAAAAAGAAAAATACTTTTTATTATTCTTGTTCTTTTTTTTTTATTTATTTAAATATTTTTATTCTCAATTTATTCTATTATAAATAACTAAAAATATTTAAAAATATTTTTCATTAATATTTATTTATATTTTATAAAAAAAGCTTTTAGTAAAATTTCATTTACAGATCAATTAATAAATTACAATTTAATTTTTTAAATACTTAGTATTTGAGAATTAATAAAATACAAAAAATAATCTTTGTTTTAACATTGTATTGAATTTTATATTACAATTTACAATAAACAAAACATAATTTTTACATTTTTTAGTAAGAATATATTTCATCAATATTTTACCAAAATAAATAGGCTAACAAATTTTTAATTAATTATTATACTTTCGCCTTCTAGTAAGTCTTTAAAATAAATAAAAATTATTAGCTACTTGTTGATACTTATATTTTTTAACTTTAATTCCAAATCTTCAAAAAAATAATTTAGCGAACATGCTACAAACTATATAAATTTGTAAAGATAGAATATATATATATAAATAATTTATTAAATATATTGATTAAAAATGAAAATAATTTTGAACAAGGATAAATAAAATATTTTAATTTATTTATAAAATTGAGAAAATTAGAAAAAATTATATGTTTAAAATAAATCATTTAAAATATAAAGTGATTATAATTCATCGAATGTAAATGAAAAGTTAAAATATTATTAATCAATTAAAAATAATTTAAAAAATTCTAAGGTTTTCATTTAATAAGAAATAAATTTGAAAGAAAGAACAAAATATTTATCAAAAATTTTACTCTATTTAAATTTAATACGTTTTTTTAGAAATATTGAATTTTTGATGAATTGATATTACTTACTATAATTAACTAAATTGCATTTTTATTTATTTAGCTTGCTAATTAATAATCAAGTTTAAATTTAATACATTCCTTTATTTTTAATTTGATTTTTTGTTTGTTTGTTTACTTAATGTTTTTAAATAGCTCATTATGTGTTATTGAAAAAGTCGTATCTGTTGTATTTTTAAACATTTTTTCTTAAAAATATATTTTAATTAAGGTTTTGTCTTTGGTTTTATTCTACTTGTTGCTATAACTATATCGAAGATTCATCTTACTACATTTATTATTATTCGTTTTACTATGATTCTAAAAAATCTGGATCTTTAAATCCTCTAGGAGGAATTCCTGTTTAAGGATCAGTTCCTTTAGGGCGTCTAAATAGAAGAATATAAGGTTCAGGCTTATGTGAGTCATAATGCACCCATCCTTTAAATTTATAATGAAAATGCTTTTTATTATAATTTTTTGAATGGCAAATAATATTACCTCTACTTTGCTATATTCCCATCATTCTCCACTAACTTTCTGTCAAAACTTTTTAATCTCTTGGCATAGTTTTAAATATCTGCTTTGGAAGGATAACGTGTCTATATTCATAATAATCATCATAGTATTTTTCTCCGTATTAAATCTCATTTGGAAACCTAGGCATCTTATCTATTTTTATTTATTTATTTATTTATTTATTTGCGTGTTTAGCTTTCCTAAAAATATTTGATTGTTTTCTTCTATTAAAAAATTGTATTACTATAAGAAGAGTTGATTATTTTTTTTGAACTGATCTATATTATAAAAAATAAGCAAAAAAATTAATGAATGAATAATCCCTCAAATCTTTATTAAAAAAATAGATCAAAATTCCTTTTTAGATGTTTAAATTGGTTTTTAAATAGATTCATTTAAAAATATAAAGTATAGATAGATTATTCATTTATATAATTAATTTCTTCAATCTAATTTTAATGTTTTTTATATTCTTTTTTGCAATAATTAGTTTATTTAATATACCAAAAATAATTAAATTATCTATTTAATTAAATATTTTAAAAATAAAAATAATTTTTTTATTAAATTTCTAATTTTTTTATATAAATTAAAAACTAAAATTGAGAATTTTTTTTGCTTTGAGGTATATTTAAATCATAATTTATAGAAAATAATTTATGATACAAAATATATTATATAATTTAAGTATGATTGAGTTTTTTATTTGTCTGATTGAAGAAATTTTAAATTTCTTTCATATTTATTAATTTGATATTAATTTTTTAATTTTATAATAATTTAATATTTTAGTGGTAAACATTTTTTATTTTGTTTAAGCCTTTTTGAAAATTGTAATTTTTTTTAATTCAAATATAAATGATTTTTTCTTCAGATAAATAGCTATTTTCAATTTAGAGATTAATCTATCCTTGTTCAGTAAAATTTCCTAAATAACAAAATAAAATATCATTTTAGAAACATTTCTTTTGTTTTCAAATAATTTACTAGGCCAATACTAAGCTGATGATATATCTTTAGGTAGTAAACCCATTCTCTTATAGGCTGCAGCTATTAATTCAGAACAGAAATATGTTCTGCCTTCTTCCGATTCAATTTAGTTAACAAAGCTTTTTTTTTTAAATAATTTTGACAAACTTAGCTCATAGCTTTTACCTGCAGCTGATTTAACGAACTTCTCAAGGTTGTCTATCATAGGATTTGTTCTTTCACAATGGAGTTTTCTAAACACAATGCTTTTTGTTTTTTAAAGAAAATTTAAAAATATTTATCATAACAAAATTTCCTTACAATTTATAAAAATCTCTCCAATTATAATTTTTAAATTTGTCCCAACTGTATAAAGAGACACCATGATTTTATCCAGCTTCAAAGAAAAATATTTAGTCGTTAGCTCCTCTTAAAATTAAAGCTACGTGATCATATTCGCTAAAACTGACAACTCTAGTAATTTTTGAACCAAAAGATTTTCCAACAAAAAAAACTAAATCTAACGAATCAGCATCAGAAAGAAATTCTTATTCAGTAATAAATACTTTCTAAATTAAAAATTTAAACATTAAAAAATAAATAAATAAATAAAGATTGAATTATCATATTTACTTTCTAAAAATTATCAATCAAAGAGTATTCTGGTTTTAAATTGATTTAATCTAATTAAACAAGTATTTGATAATTGAGATCTTTGAACCAATTTTGAATTTCATTAGAATCTTGATGATAAAAATCATATTCCAGCAAATTAGGAGTTAGAATCTGCACTCTCAAAAAGAGGGCTTTCCCTTGTGGATTATAGACTATCTTATATTTAAAATGATTGATTAAAAATTATTAAAAAATATATTCAAAAGATGTAATTAAAGAAAGCAAATTTTTTAAGACTTTGAATACATAATGAATGACTTGCATAATTATTAAATATATTTTATTTGAATTAAATAATGTCTTTTTCGTTCTTTCATGTAATAGGTAAAATAAGGATGAATTACTTTAACTGAAGAAGGGAAAATATCAAATCTGATGCAAATAATAATCTCTTTAGACTCTTTTGTATTTTTAACAGTAAATTGTTTATTTTCTACTTAGCAATAAACATCCTATTTTTTATATTTAAGTTAGCCTTCTCTTTCAAAACAGCATCTCAAGGCTGATATTATAACAATATTTTAAAAGTTTAGATAAATCTTGATATAATTTACGTACGCTTAAATAGTTTTTTATTTGTTTTTGGAAAAGACCTTATGAATGTGCTCTATAATTGCTCTATTTAATAAAAAGTTTATTATCAGTCTTAGTTTATTTTTTGATTAGTTAGTAATACCTTAAGCGACATTTCTTTAATTGAAAACAGAGGTATTATTATTCTTTTTAAGCTAAGGAGGATATATAAAAATGATTTTCTCTTAGGTTTCAATTGAGTAGTCATTAAAATTATCTAATTGTATGCTTTGATCAGCTGTTTCCAATCCATTTTGCTACTTATAAAGTAAATAACAATCAGTAAGTAATATAATTACTCAAAAAATGTAAATGAATACTTAATCCTCATAATCAAAAAAAGAAGAGCTATCATTTTCATCAAAATCAAATTATTTCATAGGAATATCTTTCTCGATGTATCCTTTCCTAAATTTTTACAACTCGCAGCTCATTTCTTAAATAATTTCAATTTATAATGATTTATTTATGCTAAGCTTTAATATTACTTAACTCTAATATAATTTCTTAATTAAAAAAAATAGGGGTAAATTATTATTTTATAAACAATTAATTAGAATTTGCTTGGTCTTTGTTTTCAGTTTAGAATTGTGCTAACCTAAATTTTACTTAATCTTCTATTTAATTAGTTAGAAAAATTCATTTTATTCTACTTAAAACAATATATATATTCAAATCAATAGGTCCTGATAACTCTAAAATATGTTTGATAATTAAATTTAGTGTATAATTACAATTTTATTTCTAAATTTTTTAAGTTATTTGAAAATAAATCTTATTTTAAATATAAATTATACAATTTTAATATAAAATAATTAAGCAATAATCAAAAGAAAGAATTGGAAAAAGAAATTTAATATTTCTTAAATACTGTTAATGCTCTTTAATTAAGGCATTTTTTTCTTAAATTATTTGTTTTTTCAATTATGGTGTGGCACTTATTTTTGGGCAAAAAAGATACTTAGGGAATGCCTTAATTAATGAAAATTTACAGTATTTAGTAAAATTTCATTTAAATTTTAATGAAATGAATCATAAAAAAGTGAATGATAATAAATTAAAAATAATTATTAAATAGATTATTTCTATTTAATTTGATTTCTGATTAAAATTTATTTATATGATTGCTATTTTATTGCTAGAATGTATTAAAAAAGTATTAAATAATAGTTTATTAGCTAATAATATTTTTTATTTTAAAAACTTACTTAGGAAAAGAGTAATATTTAATTAATATTATTATAAATTTGATAATACTTAATTAGAAAAAGATATTTTGAAGCCAATTTTTATTCTAATTATTATATAATTTGAATATATTAATTAGAAAATATCTTTGAAAAATACTTTTTATTATTAGTTAATAATTCTAAGCAACCGATTTACATTTTAAGTAGGGTTTTTATTAAGAAATAAAAAAGTTCAAAAAAAATTTAAAGAATAATCAATTAATTTGATATGCAAGTATAATAAAATTTTTTTAGAGATGAGAATGAAAGAGTCAGATTATATATTTGTTAGTATATAAATTGATTTGTTAGTAAATGCTTATTAAAAGAATAAAAGAAAATTTAATTACAAACTGTTTGTTTGAGAAATTCAAAATCTTTAAAAACTCAAAAAAAAAAAATAGACTAAATTTTTAAATTAAAAAAAATAGCTGGTATTATGAATAAACAAAATGAATATCAAAGAGAAGATGGTTTAAATATGTGATTTTTTTGTTTTTTTTTGTATTTTTTGATTTTGGAATGCATGGAATGATAAAAAGATAAACAACATTCAAAATATAATAAATTAAATATTTTTGATAGATATTTTAATAATGAATAATAAAAAAGTTGATTAAGAAATTGAATAGGTTTGATTAAAACACAATTAATATAATAGCAGTAAAAAAAGAGACAGACAACTAACTAGTTATTTTCATAAACTATTAAAATAAAAGAGAGTATCTAGGATTTAATTAACTGCAAAATAATTTCATAGATTCTATCTTTGATTATTTATTACTAAACATTTCAGCTAGCTAGTTTGTACGCTTCTTTGCAAGTTAGTCAATTCATTCTATCTTTTGTTCTAGAGAGCTACTTACTTACTTATTTATTGATATCGCTTTGAACATTGATCATTAATTAATTATTAAAAATATAGCATTCATTAATTAGATAGCAGATAGCAAGGAGTTAGTTATTCAATCAACCAATAAATAAATAGAATACACTTTAAACTTAATATCTTAATAGAGTTTCAATTAATTTAATTTTATAGCATTTCAATAATTATGGATAGAAAAGAGCAACTTTCTAAAATTTTACAAAGCACGGAGTTTAAAAATTTTTAAATAACTTAAGTAGCTAAATAAGATGAACAACACGTTTAGAATTCAAATTTATAATATAACTAGGCTTTTTTATTATAGAACATGTAGCTTTAATAGTAAATGAAGCAATAGATTGCGATGATAAATAATGCAAATGCTATTAAATCCTATAATAATTAGCCAGTTCCTTAGTTTAACAAAGAAATTAATTCTTCAAAAGAGCTCATTCCCTCATATTTCAATAATATTAGTAACAATAATCATATAAATAATATTAACAATAGCTACTCGATCAAAGACCAAAGTAATAAAGTAGCAGCAAATTTAGTTAATTCGTTTAACAAATTAAACACTTAAGTTAATGATAGTTAGTAATAGCAATAGGGGTATATCAATTAAAGTTAACGAGATTTAAGAAGCATCAGCAGAGAAAAAGAATAAAATAGAAAATAACCCAATTCAAATTCGCCAAAAAAAGAAAACTACTAGCATATGTAAAAAATAGATTAAAAAGGTTTTCAAAAGCAACAGTTTCAGTAACCAAATGAGATGTTATAGAATTTACAAAATTATAATGAATACTGCAACGCTCCTTAGCAATAATTTTCTACTTAAAATTTTTAAAACTAAAATAAGTAGTCTTATTTATTGGCTGAACAAATTTAAAAAAGCAAAAATTTTGAACAAAATTCAAATCTGAATGCAAGCTGTAATTTAAAAGAAGAATTCAATAACATTTAATCTACTGACAGAGATTAAAAAAATACAAATGGAAATATTCACCAACTCAATGAATAGCCTCAATAAAACCCACAAATTAAAGAAAGTTTCAAGGTAGAAATCGAGAGAAGATACCAAAAATCAGAAATAAACTAAATTTATAGGTTTCCGAAAGATTCAAATTGTTCTACTGATAGCGAATCTTCTTTAGTGTCTTTGATAAATGTAGAAACTTACAATTTAAACGAATAAAACACTCCCAAACCTTTGTAGTAGCTAAACATACACACAATTAGGTCAGCTAATTAATCTCAGCAGTAAAATAATCAATCAGTTTAAATGCAAAATCAGTATCTAAACAACATGCAATAATCTGAAATGCAAACGAATTCATCAAATTAACAAAAGTAGTAATTCAACCAACAACAAATGTAAAAGCAATAAAATCTGTAATAAATTTCTTAATAATAATAAAATACATTGCAATAATAAAAATCTCACCAATAATTCTAATAACAGCAATAATAAAATTAATCCTAGCAGAGAAACATGAAAGTTTGTTTATCCTAAAGAAATTTAAATAATTAAATTAAAAATAATAATTACATAAATACTTCTACTTCTTTCATAGCTCAAAATGCTAACAATAGCAACCAAAATATTAATCTAACTAGCTCTAATAACATTAGTAACGTGCCTTAAAATCATGCTATTATCTAAGACTTTGGTTTTATTAAACAGTAGCAACATCCTCCTATATCAGCCTCAAGCAATAGCCAAAGCAAATTGAAAGTTTAATAAAATTAACAAATTAACAAGCAAACAATGTAAAATAATAATAATAATAATTTAAATAATTCCAATACAACCAGTAAGACATTAAAAAAGAATGACCAAACTAAAAGTTTCTCTGATTTAAGAGCAAGCAACTAAAATTCTAATTTAAATTCCAATAATTTTATTTAACCTTAGTTCTAATAAAATTTTTAAAGCTCTAGTCTTGGGAGAGTTTCTAATACAAATAACATTAATGTTAATAATAACAATATCAATCCTGTTTTAAATCAACAAAATTAGATTTCGCTGTAATAAAGTTAACAATAATTGTTATAACAACCAACTATCGAATAGAAGAGCACTCAAATTTAGCAGTTTTTATAGATTTTGCAGACATAGAACAGCTAAAGCAATCTAAGCAAGCCAAATAGTGCTAATTAGTTCGACAATCAGAACAAAAGCATCAACTAATCATAATAGGTGGCCTCTAACAATTATTATCTGACAGAAAGATGGAAAAAAGATAGCAATTCATAGCTACAGAAGAACAATTTTAATAATATTTAGAGCTGCTGCAACACTTTGATAAACAATCTCACCCTCAGCAATAAGTAAGATTTTATATTTATTTTAAACTTATTTCTTATTAAAATTATTTCAATTAGATAATAGGATAGCAAATTATTAGATGTTCAATTAGAAAGTAGTCAGAATAACGACTAATTTTTAAATGTTAATTAGTTATTAGAAAAATCAGGATATCAAACTTTTGCTAATGTTCCTGGGATGCCTTAAGTTAATATCAACAATTCTATAAATGCAGTTACTTTGATTGCATCGAATAATGTTTCTACCAAGAATGTAAACCAATCACAGTTTATGAGCAATAACAATTTCAAATAGAATAGCGATTAGTCTTTTGCAAATAATTAAAAATTAAATCATGACAACAAAAAAGGTAAGGTTGAATTGCTATAGGATTCAATTCCCTAATTCAATCTAACAATGAACACCTAGTAAGAGTAAACAATAACGTCTTCATCCTCGAAAAATTAAAATTATGAAAACAGATCAAGGATACAGTAAGATATTGAGTTACAAAATAGAATCATGAAAATGAGATAAAATTTAGATGAAAAATTAAGATAAAGCACAAGCAGAAGCAACGAAAAAAGAACGATTCCTCAATAACAAAAAACAACATCAAATGATATAATTCAAAAGCTTAAAACAATTATTTAGCAAAATGATATGATGGGAAATCCTAGTTCGTTATCTTCTAGAAATACTTAGAGAAAAGACAAATATGATACATCTAAAAGTTTCGAAACAAAAAAAGCAAATAATACAAATAATTTATATACCAACGTTAATATCAGTGTAAACAACAATAGCTCTTAATAAATACAAAATTTAAAATAATTTAGAGAACAGTAATCGTCTTTGAAAAATAACAATCAAAACAACAGCAATAATTGCACATCTTCAAAGTAATTGGATAGAAATTCTTCTGCTAAATAACTTACTAATAAATCGTAAAGCAAGGAAAAATTACAAAGCAACTCTAAACCCCAGCATTTGCTAACTTAAAACTCTTAAAATAACTTATTACAACATTCTAACAACAAAATCACTGCCAATCTGCCCCACACACCTCAATCATAGGCTAATAAGTAGATTTCAGCTCTTCTCAGCTAAAAATAAGGTTCTAACAATTCAAGTTCTAAACTCAACCAAAGTTCTTCCAATAAACAGAATAATTCACTCTCAAAAGTTAAACAGCAAAATATAACGAAAACTCAATAAGCAGTAATAAGTAATTAAACAAATAACACTAGCAATATTAGTTCAAGCAATTTCAACAATGGAACTACGACTGTTGCAACAACTACAACAACTGCTTCTAACACAAACTCAACAATAAACCCTTAAAACAATATATTTTCTATAAGCAACAATACTAACACTATTTAGAAGACTCCTTCATAATAACAAGGATTAACATAACAAGTATAGAACGCTATTGCTGGTTTGAAAATGAACCAAAATATATTAAAAGATTAATAAACTTAATCCATAATTAACTAAGTCATTTAAAAATAATAAGAGTAAATGCAGTAAAACAAAATGAACTCATATAAAAGTAGTGGCAGTTTGCTAAAAAATTATAGTAACAGTAATCTTTAAGTTCAAACTTCAAGAAATCAACCAAAAACCAATATAAGAGATGTAAGAATTAAATTGCAAGAGCAACCGGCAAACAACAACTGCTAAACAGATATTTATACTGGCAATACAAATAACGTCAATAACTCCTAAAGTAATAACAATGCAAACAACAATAATCAAAGAGGGAAAATGAAAAACTTTTCTTTTATTTTCATGAAAAACATACACTGAAATTGAAAAAATTTATATCATGAATATCAATAAATAAATAAATCATTATTATCTATAAAATAAAACTAATAAATTAATAAATAATTGTTTAAATTATATAAAATAATCAAGATCTACCTATTTATATATTGTTATCATTTCATACAATTTATTACAAGTGTTCATAATATATAATTTTCAAAGATATATAATAAAGAGTTATTAATAACTATTTATAGTGTTTTTTTAAAAAAACTAAAGTTATTTAGCAAAAATTTTTGTTAAAAAATAAAAATGATTATATTTAATAATATTTTTTTTAAAAGATTTACAATAGGACAAATATTTTCAACATATATTTATTTATTATTAAATAATTACAATTTAATAATAATAAGTCAACATTTGTATCAATCACTCTTGCTTATTAGTATTTACAGAAATTTGCAAGTTGATGGTAACTAGTTTATGATCATACATAATTAAAAAAGTAATTAGTGTATTTTGGTAATCTATTTATTCGTGAATATTAAAATTAATACTTTTTCTTAAAAGTAAAAAGATTAAAACAGAAATTTAGTTTGTTTGAGGTTGAACGAATAATACAAAATAATATAGAAATGAGATAGTTTGTCTCTGAAATACAAAAAGGGAATTATAAACAAAATATAGATTCGTTAGATAAAAGCTATTATAAACCGCAAATCTAAAATGAATAAATTCTGCATTCGAAAGTGGCTAGGTAAATTAAATTGTGAATATTAAAGTTAATTAAATGCATTTTATCACAATTAACACAGATTCCTTGTACTCAATCCTTCTAACTACCCTTACGGTAAAATAAATAATGGGAAAATATAGTTAAAATAAGATGAAGATCCGTGGATCAGCATAAGACCATAAACAACTGATTAAAATTCGAGAAAAAACTACTATCAAGAGCTTTAATCAGTAAAATTCATTTTGAAAGAACATTATTTTTGAACTGAATAATCTCATAAATAGATCACAAAGCAAAGCAATCAAATTTCAGTAAAAATGAGGAGTAAAAGTCTAAATCAAGCCAAATAAATAAATCTAGAAAGTCTTACAAAGCAAAAATAAAAGCAGGGTAATCAAAAATAGCCTCAAGAAAAAATCTTAGTTTCAGAATCTTCTGTTTACCCCTAAATATTTTTTTCAAAGAGTAAGCAACTAATTATTTAATCGTTAAATTTGATCAAGTAAAAACTTTTTATTTATTATAAAAAAAGCAAAGCTAAGACACCTTTTGAAATAAGGTAATTCACTTCATACCATTCACAAAATTAAAACAAAATATCAAATCAATCGATTTAAAGAAATTCTACTTTTTATAAAGCTTAATTTAAGGAATTTTGCTTTTTAAAAGCATCACTGGAATTTGAATAAATGAGAAATTCATTTTATATTAAGATAAATCTAAATTAATGCTAATATTTATCTAATTTTTTTGGATGTTTTTAGCTCTAGATACATCAAAAATGCTAGATACTAATTAATATTTAGAAAATATGGAGATGATAAATAAGACGATTTTTTATCAGTTTTAGAAACCTCAAAAATATTTTAATAGATTTTTGAAAATTAAATAATTGCTATTAATTTCAATATTATTTAAAGCATATCACATACATCCATCAATCAGCTTGATTCTTTAAATTATTTTGATTTAAACTAATAATTTGATATTCCTAAAAATTTGAAATATTTTTCAAAAACTATTTAGATACATTTGATATTATTTTAACATTAATTTAACTATTGAAATGTTTTTTTTGACAAAGATGCATTTGGAGGGTCTTTAAATTTAATGTATTGAATTTTCTTTTAATTTTAAACACTTCAGATGTATCTTGGAATATCTACAAATTAGATTCTAATCAATATTTAGAAACAATAAGATTTTTCAACAGCTATTAAAAATAAACTAAAAATAATAAAAAATATCTAAATTTTTCAATTTAAAATAATAACATGAGAAGCAATTAATAAAAAATACTTTAGATATTTTTGAATTTATTATGAAAGAAATTGCTTTGATAATTAATTAATTAATTTTCTTTTTAATAGTTGAGTTCCCATAAAATGCTAAAGTGCTTGACAGCGATGATGCTAGAATATAAGTTATATTTTAAATAATATCTAAGATATTCAATGAAATACCACTGTTTATTTTTAATCTGATTATTTGCTAAAGATAGAACACAAATAATTTTGTTATATTTTTTGAAGGTAATTTTTTTAATTATTTATTTTATTTTATTTTTATATTTTTTATTTAAATTTAAAGATCCTGAGCAGATCCCATTTAGTAAATGTTGTAATAGTCCTATTCAAGTCGATTTGTAAGAATCTGGGGTTGGTAATTTAAATTAATAATAATTAATATGGATTATAAATTTATTAATAAAACATTTTTAAGGTATGATTGTCTGTAATAATGCTTAATGTTAAGAAAATATATTGGTTTAGTTTTTAATTAGTTTTGATGATTCTGTTAAATTGTGGAAACATAAAAGAATATTTAAGCAAGCTTCAGAAAGAGATAACTATATGAGGATGAAAATTTCTAATATGATTTCAACTGGGAAATACAAACATCATAGTTTGAAGAAAGAAATTGAAAAGGCTTCTTAAGAAATAACTTAGATTTTTACTTATTAAGAATGGCATGATAATGAAAAGAAAGAAAGATATAATAAATATAACAACAATTATTTAGATTATAATAAAACAGAATAAATATAAAATAAATATTAAGACGATTTAATTAATTAGTAATAATATAACGATTTATTTATGACTAATCTTGATGGAGTAGATTCAAATAATCAGCCTTAAAACTACAATTTACAAAATTCTAATTAATAAGATCTCTACACACTGAATGATGAACTTGATCAAATAGATTAAATAAATGCTAACATCCAAAAAAATTTTATTTAATAAAATGAACTGAATAGTTACAAGCAAAAGTTAAGTTAAGGTTTAGTGTAAAATAGCACAGTGTTCAATAAAAACTTTTATTCTTATATAACTAATTAAAATAGTAATTAAGGATTATTCGATAAACAAAATAGTAAAGTAAGGATGATTAGAAAGCCAAGACTTATTAAATCATCTTAAATTCCTGTTAGAAAAATTTAGAAATTGAAAGAATAATAACAGCAGCTAATGTCTGTTAACTTGCAAAATAACTTTATGCTATCTCAAGAAAATTAAAATAACTAAAATTACTAAACTAATAATTGAATACCTACCTATACAATATAATCTTTAGTATTTTATCAATTTAAAATTAAATAATAATATTAATCAAATTTAATCCTTCGTTCTACTTTTAAATAATTAAAATAATAATAAATTTACTGTAATTAAACTATTAAATTTAAGGTAAATTGATTAAAAATAATTATTTTCATTTATAAGTTACTTCAATTAGTACTTCTAAAATTAACTTTATAATATTAATTATCCAAAAAGGAATAAATAAATAAATAAATAAATAAATAAATAAATATGATTTTATTCATTTGAAAACAAAAAAAATATTTATTCTAAAAAAATGAAAAATATATTTTGCAAACCATGAAACAAATTTTAAATTAAAATACTTTTTGTTCATGCTTGAGTATTTTTTTTTTATCTTATAAAATAAATGCTTGTTATAATTCTAAATTAAAACTAAATTTTAAGTTGATAAAGAGACCTTAAAGACTAAATTTTTTTGTAAAAAATAAGAATTTTAGTTGAAACCTATTTCAATATGATAAAATAAATTTATAAAATACCAAAAATGATAATTTGAAACTCGTCGACTATTATATTTTTAGACAAATAAAATGGTAAATGTGAATTAATTTTTTAATAGGATTTAACACGTAAAGTATTGTGTTATGTTCACATGTGTTGGCAATCTATATATCGATCTATTTATCTATCTAATTTAATTTAATTTATAGAAGATATTTATTCAAAAATAAATTTAATTGGAAATTTGCTTGCAAAATAAATCACTAACTAATTAATATTTAATTGGGACTAGATATTAAATATTATTATTTGGTTTAATAGAATTAATAAATTAACAAATAATTCACAGTTTGCTAGTTTTCATCAATTTTTAAAAATGGAAGATTTTCAATAGATTTAGCAATTAACAAATAGTTAGCAAGTGGTGAGGGACAGAAAATGTCCATAATGCGGTTCTAGAAGTGAAACAATATTTTAAAAGGAAGCATCAGTTGCTACTTATGTGCTTTCGATTATTTCATTATTTTTTTTCTAGTTTTGGTCTATTTTTGTCATTCCAATTATAGTCTCAGCTACTCAATAGGTTACTAAAAGGTGTTACGATTGCGATAAAATAATAGAAAAACATGATTTATTTAGCTTACCTTCAATAAATGATTAAGTATTTAGCAATTCATTTTCGTTAATTTAGTTTAATAACATTCTTTTATTCAATATATTTCAATAGATTTTGAACTTTAGATTTGGAACATTTGCATTTATTGTTTCAAGGAAATACGCTTATGCCATTCTAGCTATTTTTGTTATTATATTTACCTACTGCTAGTTGACAAAAGAAACTCCTGCCATTATTGAAGAGCAGTAAATAACAAGTAATACATTTTACTAAAAGTTTAAAAATATGCTAATAAAAAATATAAATTTATTGATTGATTGATTGATTGATTTATAGATAATTGTTTAATTTAATTTGTAAATAATTCAAATATAAATAGATTAACAATTGGATAATACATGGACTTAGTATTTGAAAGATTGTGGGTCTGGAGTGTATTAAGATAATTCTGTGAGAGCAAATTCTCACTTTTAGCAAACCTACTTTTAAAATATTATTAATTGGGAAGGCGTGTTTTTATCATGCTGGGAAGAGTGTCCTGCTAATTTAAATAATTGGATTAAGGAATACTACTTAAAAATTAAAATGGATCCTACTGATTCAGACTCTGAAACATTTGATATCGTATTGTAAGTAGATAGAGAAACACACTAAAGCAATATTGATGTGATTAAAAATCTATAGTAGTTAGATGTAGTAAAATTCAAGGCACAATTTATGTCTTTAGGAACAGATAAAAGTTTCCATAAATTGCATCTAATAAAGGTTGAACCAACAGGTAGAAAAATTGAAAGTATAGACAAAATATAAACAGCCTATGAATAAGGAATATTTGACTGATAGAAATATAATAAATTATTAAAATAAACCATTTAAATTTTTACATAACAAGTCATTCTTAAATTTGTTTTTTGGTCTAATTTGTAAATAAATAAATAAATAATTAATTTGTATTTATATCAAAAATAAGTCTTTTGGAGTTATTCACTTCATTTCAAATCATTTTTTTTAAATTAACTAAAAAATTTAATTGAAATTATGTCAATTTGATAAAATTATAATTACTAAATACACTCTATATTAAGATGATACTTAAATTTACTGATAAATGTCAAAAATAAGATCTTTCATTACAACTATATAAATTTCAAAAATAAAATTATAATCAATATATATTCTATTTTTAAAATATCTTTATCAATCAATATAAAAAAATAAATATACAGTAAATCTAAGACTTACTTACTCATGCTAATTAATTTTTAAAATTTTAAATAATTTTAATTCAAATACCAATCAATGCGAGTCTAAAAATCACTTTTTCAAAGAAAAAATTAGAGTTAGTTAAATCAATATTTAAAATTAAAAACCAGTCTTAATATAATGTGAGTATTTACCATATATTAAATTTAAAATCAATTAATTATTTTTAAATTTGTATTAATCATATGTTTAAGTAAAAATTATAAACATCATATAAAAAAATAATTCATCACAGTTAACGTAGAGCATTTAATATTATATTTTATTTAAATTTCTCACTAAATAAAATAATTTTGCTTCAAACAATCAATATGCAGCCATTTAGACCAATTTTTTTGTTCTTAAAAGCATAGTTCGCAACTTGTGTATCCAATTATTTTCAAAGTGACTTTATTTTTTAAATAGTATAAAAATTAATCGCTTAATTCAATGAAGTGAATGTAAAAAAATTAATTTGTTCATATTTTTACTTAAATTTGTTAATATTTTATTAGAAAAAAGTTTATTAACTAAATTAAGTATTTGAAAATAAGAGGAAAATATCAATAAAATAATAATGAAATAACTATTTTTAAAATTTAAATCAACCCTATATATAGTATCAACATGTTTAGATTTTTGCATTTTGTTAAATGCTAACCAAAGAGTAAGGCACCTTGCTCTAAAATTTAATTATCACTTTTGTTTTATTAACAAATAAATAAAAAAATAAATTTAATAGTAAATTAAAGATTTAATTATTTAATAGAATTTGTAAAATGTTTGTGCATTTATGTAAGTAATTATTATGCTTGCTGTATTTAATTAATTTCTATATTATAAAAATATCTCAGTAATAAATTCTAAATTCTAATTTAATATCAAGAGCTAAAATTATATTTAAAATGTTTACACATTTTTTTTTTGATAAATAAATAATTTAAAAAAACAAAAATTTTACTTTAAGTTAAGATACAAAGATGTGAGATTATCAAAGCTTTCTAGAGCAGAACCTAAGTTAACAACTCCATAATTGTCAATTTCACTCCATCTAAGCATTTTTAAGTGTAAATAAATAAATAAATTTAATGCGATTAAATACAACAATTAAAGCAAAAACAATTTTTGTTAACTTATAAAATAGTTTTTTGTAATCAAAAAATTATTACATAAATTAGAGATTTAAGAATTAAAGGTTAGAATTATTTGCCAAGTTAGAAACTAAAGCAACTGCACCCTAAGCACCAATTTAATTCCACCTTTTTTATAATTAAAATTAATTTAAATTGTTTATAAAATATTTTATAAAGAAGAAATAATAAATTTATACTAAATTAATTAATTAATAAATAATTTTTACCCTAAGTCGATTGTAATTTTAGTGATTCTATTACATTATGCTAAGGCAGAGCCTAAAAGTTATGAACCATCAGGACCTATTTAATTTCCTCTTTTAATATTAGTTTATTATTTTAATTTAAAATTGATTTAAGAAGAATTTATTCATTTTTAGGTAAAAAAATAAGTTTATAACAAAATTAACTTGAATTATTTTAATGAAAGTTTATGGTTTAATTAATATTTTTAATTAAAATATTTATAAAAGATAAAGAATTCATTTTACTAAAGACTTAAATTCAAAGTTGTAATTTGTTTGCAATTTATTAACTCTAAGCCTAAATCACTTATCCCTTTTATGCCCAATCGATTATTGCTTTTATTTTATAATATTTAAATAAGTAAGATATCAGTCAATTAAAACTAGGTTAACAGTTATAAAATTCATTTTTTTATAAATAATTTTACAGTATTTATCTTAATAAAAATAGCTCATTCACCTTCAATATTAATTTTTAATCAAAAAATTTTACAAATTAAAATAAAAACAATTTTAATTAAGTACAGTTTAAAAATGACATTCTATCAATAAATAAATAATTTATGTATTTTATATGTTTTCTTAAGATATTGATAAATAAAATAAAATAAATTTTTTTTTCATATTTATTTTATTAAAATTTAATACCTATATACAATCTTTAATTTTTAAAGACCACACAGTTGTGATAGTGCTAAATCAATAAATTTTTCACTAAGCTCTAATATATATCATACCTTATATTCTCATCAATTAAGGTCATTTTTAAACTAAAAAAATATTTGAACAAAGACATTTTGATCTTTCTAAATAATAGTGATTATTTTAGATAGGCATTTAACTATAATGAAGATTTAGAGTACATTATATTCAAAAAAATTTGAGATAAATTAAATATTTTTTATTAATTCAGTTTGAGTATTTGTTGTGAGTTTAGATTAATTTTTATACTATCATTAATAATGTAATTAATTACCTAACATCAAGATGTAGATTAGAAAGCCTAGGACAATTTTTTAAGGGAAGGACTAAAAGTAATGCACCTGTTGCTCCGATTTTATTATTTCTTAAATTATTTTTAATGAATAAATTTATAAATATTTCACTAGAAACAAATAAAAACTAAAAAAATAAATTCATAATTTAATTAATATTTTTTAAAACACAAAATCAATTTATACGCAAGAAAAATAGCTAAATTTGATAGAAAATGGCAATTCTTTAGAGCAACGGTTAAACCAGCAGAACCCTTCTCTTCAACTTCATTTTCACTATAAATTAGTAATAAAAATTTTAATTTAATTTAGAATTTGCATATAAGTATGAATTTAAATAACTTATGCAAATTTAATTAAAATTTTAAATAAAAATATTTCAATTTAAATCCTATTTATTTATAAAAGATTGATTGGTAATTTAATATTACTATAAATTAACTCTTAAATCCCTCAAATTGATTAATTTTCCAAAAGCTGATCCAAGATCCTAAGTACCTTAATCTCCTATGCAGTTACTCCTAATTCATATTAAATATTTAAATTAATAGGATTTTTATTTAAAAAATTAGATAAAAATAGTAACTCAAAGATCCAAACAAATATATTTTTAAGAAAATTCTTACATTAAGTTTAAAGTTAAATTTGTAAGACTTAAGCAATTTTCCAAGCAAAAAGCGAAATCTGATATATTTTTACTTAGATTTTAGTTTGAACTATTTATTTTTAATTAATTTTATTATCAATTTTAAAACACTAATTCATAAAAATATTTTTAAATTAATTTTTTTTACCCAATAAAAATGTAAAATATTTTAAGATGTTAAGCAAATAAGCATGTTTGTTTATTTATTTTTAATTATTAATTAGATTACGAATCTATCCTCTTATAAAAAGTTTTTTTATTTATTTATTAGATTTTATTTTATTTTAATTGATTAAATTTTTAGCAATCATGAAGTTTTACAAAATCTAATCAATGTTTATCATTGATATTTTGCTCATATTATACACAATTATTTACTTATTGATTTAATAATATTAACATAATCCTGAGATTTAAAAACCAAAAATTATATTAATTCTTGGCTTTACTTTTGAATAAGTTATATAAAAATAAAAATATTTTACTCAAGGCTAATTTCTAAGTTTTAGAGATTCGTACAATTCATTAAAGATTATCCAATTTTTTAAATTTTATGCTCTTTGATATCAGTACACCTTTTTATCATAAGAATTTGTTATTTAGATTGTTTAAATATTTTAATTAAAAATATATATTTTATTTATTTATTAATTATGAAAATATTTATATTTTATATTGATTTATTTACCTTAGGTTAAGTATTAGGCTTTTCAGATTTTTACACTCTACCAAAGCAGATATTAGAGAATCAAAATTGGTATTCATTTTTTGCCAACTATTTAAATAAAATAAATTATTCAATTCAGTGAAAGTATAATTTACAATATTAAAATATTTTTTAAAGAATTTCAGAGCAAAATAATTTATTTATTTAGAACAATAAGACAGTTAAAATAATTTAAAATATTGAGTGTAATAAAAATATACTCAAATCTGACTAACATTTAACCTCCTAGATAAATATGAACATCAACATGAGACAACATCGAAGAACTTAAGAACTTTTTTTAAGCGATAACGAAAATGTTTTTCTTAAGTTTGAAAATAATTAAAGTATACCTCACTCAAGTTATCATAATACTGTTTTTATTCTTATTTTTATTATTGATTGCCCATATTAAATTAATCTGCTTATTAGTTGAGTAAAAAAATTGAATTAAATTACACTCAAATATTAATAACATCAATTAAAGTAAATAATTAAAATAAGTTACATTTATTTATAATAATAATAATAATAATAATAATAGTTTATTTTGATTATTTATTTACAAAATCTGACTTGATTCAGTTATTTTGAAATGGTTATAAAAACCTTGTTAGTGTTTTTTCCTTTTAAAATCTGTTAAAGTATAATTCATGATTAAAATTATTTAAATAAATATCTTCAAAAAATTTAATAAAATAATTAGAATAATTTGAAGAATAGTTATGTTTTAACTAATTACATCATTTTCTGATATTAATAAACTATTTAATCAAATATATTATAATCCTAAAAAAATTAAAAATACAGGGTATATATGTATGTATCGTGTCTGTTTGTTTTTGGTAGAATTAAGTTAAAAAATCAAATTAAAAATAAAACTTTTTATATTAAGATATGAAATTCAGAAATAAAATATGAAAGGCAAGGGTAAATCTTATTTTATTAATTAACAAAGATATATAAATCTTTTATTTTATTACAAAAATGTACAACAACATCTCTTTTTGATAATACAAATTAATAAAATTAATAGGTTTTGGCTAATTAAAAAATAAATGATATGTTTTATAATTTATTAATAAAACAACAACCTTTTTTATGTATTTAAATATAAAGTAATTTAATTTTATTCTAATAAATAATCAATATTAATTCATATATACATTCATTCATTCATTCATTCATTCATTTATTTATTCATCTTTTAGTATTTTTGAGTCTTGTACTGAGCTAAAAGTTCTCATCTTTAATCTTTTTAATCTCAGCTTCTTTTTCTTACAGCTATTTTGTTAGGGTATTGACTTTACTTTTTAAACTTTTTACTAGGTCCTCAGATTTAATTTAGTTTTCTGTGCTTGTTTGTGAAGAAGATATTGAATTTGAAATTTAGTTATCCTAAGAAGTATTTTTTAAAATAATTGGTTTTTTAGGATTTTCTTTATCATTAGTTTATTTGATTGCTTTTTCTTTGTCTTTGAGCAAAATGAAAATATGGTTGTCCTTTTACTAAATACTTTTTTTTAGCGTTTGAATATCATTTTCTTTGTCTTCAAGTTTTTCTTCTAACAACTGAATTGTCTTTTCTAGTTTTAAATTTCTTTTCTCCTACATGGTTACTTCTGATTAATAATTTTCAATCTTGTTTGTGTGAATATTGCCTTGACTTTTCAATTCCTGCAAATCCATGTTGATATATAACATTTTTTCATCTTTTTCATTAATGACTTCATCTTTCTTCTTGATTTACTCTTTAAGCTAAGCAATTTCCATTTAAAATTATTTGTTTTAAAACAGCGTTTACTAATTTTCTATTTATAAAAGGTTCAATTAGTTTTTAAATTCAAAGCAAGCTTTTTCAAAATATGTCTTTTCTTATTCGAGTTGCTAACATTTATTTTCAAGCTATTTTAATCTCTCTTTAATTGAATCATTTTCCGTCTGTAATTCGTTTATTACTTTTTCCTTTTGAAAAAGATTATTCCCAAGTCTTATTGACTGCATAATTATTTTTGATATACTTTTAAAAAAAATCTTTTAATTACAACAAAAACACTGATACACTCATTCAATTCAGTAATTTTAAATTTGCATTCTATAAAAGCTAAATGCAAAATACTATTTATTCTTTTATATATAATCGTTAAATAAATAAATGCATGAAAGAAAGGATTATTTTTTTAAAGTAAATCAATCATTAAGCTAGCTATAAACATAAATTCAAAAATAATTTGATGTAAACATGCATATATTTATTTCTCATTTTTGGATATTAATTTTATAATATTTTATAAGGATAGATGGTGTTCTTCATATTTTTTTTCTAAACAAAAACAAAACAAAAAAATTTATCAAGATAATTAATCTTATTGGATTTTAAAAATTTAACAATAAACCCTCCTTTTAAATTATAATTTTACATTTTATTTTGAAATAAAATTTAAATATTTTAAATTAATTTTATACAGAAATTAGGTAGAGAATTATATAAATTAGATTAGCAAATTAATAATAATTTTTATAAATAATGAATGTTCTTTTAATTAAAAATATCAATGTATCACTGAAATGTTTAAGTTAGGTCTTTGTTTGTTTATTTATTTGCTTGGTTTTGATATAATTGCATTTAGTTCATAATTTTGTTTGAATTTGATAAGAAAGTTTTGAGAATAAGATAAAAATCTAAAAGATTCCAATAAATTCTTAAAATGTTTAGGTTTAGTTTAGCAAGTAGAATATTAGGACAATAAAATACAAAATTGTTTGATGTTAGAAAGTAAATTAGATAAAATTGAGTATTTTTTTAGCAAAGATAAAAACGTTAAAACTAAAAAAGGTGCACTTTTTCTGAGTTAAAGGAGAAAAAAGACATGATCAATTCTTTTTAGGAATACAAACCAATAGACAAATAGAAAACAGTGGTAGTTGAAGAAAAAGAATCATTTTTGGAAGATGTTTAAGAGTTTAGAGACAAAGTAAGTTTGCGTTTATTATTTGCTTTTAATTCTAAAATAATTTTGAAGAAAAGATAAAGAATAAAGGAGTGGAAAGTTGCTTTCATCATTGCTTTCATGTACATAAATTTATTCTATTGTAAAGAAGTACTTCTATTTCCTTTCCTAAAAAATAAGCCTTGGTCTTATTGAAGTTTTTAGTATCTTACTTATTTTTTATATTTTTTGTATACTTATTTCTTAATTAAATTCACATAATGAAGTCTGTCTTTTTAAATCCAAATAGGATTTATTCTTTTTTGTTTGTTTATTTGTTTATTTGTTTGTTTGTTTGTTTGTTATTATGAATATTTGAATGAAAAAAAATCAAATATTATTTTTAATAATAAATAAGCTTGATATATAATTTTTGGTAATAAATAACATAACTTGTTTAGAAAGGAATTAAGAATAAATGTAGTTTGAAGTAACATAGTAACATTAGCCAAGCACACTGAAAGAGAAGATTACTTCTGGTATAGATTAGAAATAGAATAAAATAAATTATAAAAAAATTATTTAATTTAGAATATATTTAGGACTGCTTTTATGAGGATATTAGTATGGATAATAAGAAAAAAACATTTACTGAATATTTGCAATAATTTAGTATAGTATATAATATTAAAATGGATGGAACAATAGTGATGAAGTTTTAATTAGCTTAAGGAGATATAGAAGTAGAGCTATTTTAGCAAGCAAGTATGCATTATCATACAGAAGATTACGGTGTTTCAGAAACACCTTATATTGAAGAAGATTAATTTATGGGACATGTTGAAAAGCTTGAATATTTAGTTTTTTAGATAGAAGCAAGAGAAAAAGAATTTAAGGAATCTGATTTAGATACACTCGCGTTTATAGCAAATTTGTTTAATCACACATTCGGTGGTCCAAGGTTAGTTGTTAAGCAGATAAAAGATGAGTAAAATAACTCAGCTAAAAGATTTATGTTTTGGATAAATGGTCACTATCTAATAAATAAAGAAGGAGAGCTTTCAAAAATTGAGTTCTACGAAATAATTTAAGAAATATAATTTATGACTTTTGTTTAGAGGATGACTAAATCACTTTTTTAAAGCTTAGAAAATGACTAAATAAAAACTACAAAAGACTATACAATCGATGATTTGATCATTAAAAATTTTGAATTTTTTAAAAAGGAATACAAATTAAACTAGAAAAAAAAAAGTTAGAAAGTTGAAGAATTTTAGGCTTTTTTAGAAGAGTAATTTTGTCTTGAATAATTTTGAGTATTATTCTTATAATTTAATGGATCGATCAAACACTTTTAAATCAACCAATTCATAGTATTTAGATGTTCCTTCTATACTTACTTAACATGCAAAATAAATATAAAAACAAATAGATAATTCATATAATAAATAATTTACTTAGAAATTCTTCATTCTAATAAATTTTATGTGTTTTATTTGCAAAAATTAAATAAATTTTGACTTTTGTTTCTACCAAAATAAACTTTAATTATTTTTGAGTTCTTAGAATATACGGAGACTTTATTAAGCAAATATTTATTTTCATTTATTTTTTCAATTATTAATAAATTTAATTATTATTTTGTTTATTTAATTCTTGATATTAAATCTAAAATTATAAATTCATCAAACACCAAATTAATTAATCAATCAATCAAACAAACAAATTATTGGAATAGATAATATTATTATATTATATACTGTAGGATGAGTTTAAAAATATTCATTACAAACCAAAATAACAATCAAATTTTTAGATTAATGAATACAAATTGATATTAAGTAAGTAAAATAATAATAGTAATGAATTTATCCTTTCATTCTATTCCTTTTTTACATTTGTTTGCTTTATATATAGTTTTGTATTAGACAGACGATCTGAATTAATTAATTAAAATGAATGATTAATTTATGTTTACGAAGAGATTCACCTATTCAATAATAAGCTAATCATGAAATTTTAGTTTTAGTAGAGGAATACTTTTTTTTAATGTAAAAGAATTAATTTAAACATAGAGTGTGCATTTATTTATTTACTTGTTTTTTTTGTTTTTTTGATTGATTTATTGACTGTAGTTTGCATGTGCAAGCTAGCAAGACTTTGATTAATTGATAGATAAGTTAAAAAAAATAGCAATCATTAGATAGATTTTGATAATAAATAACTAGAAAAATAGTCTAATAAAAAACAAAAGAAAAGAAAAAATGAATATGAAATTCATAGTTTATATTTTTGTCTTAGTTGCTGTTGCTTCATGCGCTTACATGAATGAAACTATAGATCCTTAACGCTTGGCTGAGTTTGAGGAATTCAAGTCCAAATTCAATAAATATTATCACAATGAACATGAACATCATTCCAGTTTCCACAACTATAAAACTAGTAGAGAACATATTGTCAAGCACCAAATGGAAAATCCAAACGCTAAATTTGGCCACACTAAGTTCTCTGACATGAGTCCTGAAGAATTCGAGAACAAGATGCTCAATTTCGACTTTTCTCTTTTTAAGAAAGCCAAATCACAAGGAATTAAATTAAAAGCTGAGCCTATGAAGGGTTATTTAAGATAAGGTGAAAACGTTGATAATAGCGATTTACCCGAATCATTTGATTGGAGAGATAAAGGCATTATCACTCCCGCTAAATTTTAAAACACTTGCGGTAGCTGTTGGACCTTTGCCACAACCGGAGTCATTGAATCTCAATATGCTCTTAAATACGGCGAACTTCTCCATTTCTCTGAATAAATGCTTTTGGATTGTGACAACATTAATTAAGGTTGTAGAGGTGGTTTGATGACCGATGCTTATCAATTCCTTTAATAAAGTGGTGGTATCTAAACAGTAAATTAAATATTCTTTATTTAAAATCAATAATTAAATGATTTTTCAATTTTTATCTTAGAAAAAAATAAATAATTCATTATTTTTAAAATTAATAATTAAATAAATTGAATAGGCTGACACTTATGGTGATTACAAAAATAAGAAGGACATTTGCAACTTTGATAAGGCCAAAGTTAAAGCTAAAGTTGTTGATTGGTACTAGATTCCTGAGGTGATTTTTTATTTTCTAATTAATTAATATATTTTTGTAGCTTAAGCAAAAAGTTCAAAATTCAATTTTTGGATTTATTTGATTATTTATTCAAAATTAATTTATTTTCTAATAATTTAGAATGAAGAAACTATCAGAAGAGAACTCGTTAAGAACGGTCCTGTTGCCGTTGGTATTAATGCCAGAACTTTGTAATTCTACGAAGGAGGTATCGTTGATCCCAAGAACTGTGATGACAAAATTAATCATGCCGTCCTTATTGTTGGTTACGGTGTTGAAGAAGGCATTCCTTATTGGTTAATTAAAAATCAATGGGGTGCTGAATGGGGTATTAAGGGTTTCTTCAAATTAATCAGAGGAAAAAAACAATGTGGTATCCACACATATGCCTCTATTGCTTATGTAGAAAAAGTCTGATCATAAATATGCTAAATATAATGAAATAAATAAATAAATAAAATATATTATTCCTTTTTATCAAATTAGTACACAAATTAATATAACAATTAACAAACAACCTTAACAATCAATCAATCAATAAAAATTAAATTTATTTTGTTTATTTTGTAAAAAAATGTTTGATTTTACTTAACAAATTTTAAAATTAAAATAATATTTTTAATTATTTACTTGTAATACCAAACCAAGCTAAATTTAATGTGATATTTAAGATTTTCCTTTTGAAAGAAGGATTTTTCACTGATTAATCTTTTATAAATCTAGCTATTCAAATTTTGTTCAATTTAAAAAAAAAAAAATTAAATTTAATTAAATAATGATAAAAAAATTTAAATACTTGAAGTGTTTTATTATTTAATTAGAATAAGTAAAATAATAATTGAAAAATAGCAAAATCCATTTAATAATCTAAATGTTAATTAATTTATTCCACCAAAAATATTTAGGGTATTTGTTTTAAATAAATATACCTACCTCAACTTTGATCAAATATAAAACTAATTTAGAAGTATTCTTGCATTTAATTACTTTCCATAAAAATTGTAATTTGGAAGTTTGTTAGAATTTTTAAAATGAGAAACAAACACAAGTATTTACGGGTGATTAGTTTATATAAATGAACATTAAAAATAGTTTAAAATAAATTTATTCATTTGTATTTGTGAGGTCCATATTTATTGAAAAGGCTATCTGCATTTATTACAATTTGAACGATATCGAGGCGTTGAATTCTTTATAAATTTTCCATAGCCTCAGTAAAGTCATCTGTTATATGATGCCTTTATATCTATAAGATAGAAATGCAAATGTAATCCATAAAATCTTATCTGTGTGTATGGGAAAGATAGCTGTCCCATAGTCTCATGACGTCAAAAATTTCAAATTCTTAAGTAAATATAAGCATGAGCCAACGAAGACTATAAAAATGAGGATTAAGTCTTAATTGCTCAAGGTTTTCCCACAACTCAGGATCAATATCCTTTAATAATAAATTTAAATTATTAATTCTGGCTTTGATTCCACTATCGGAGTCGTCTAACGATTTAATGAAACAATCTTTAACTTCAGCCATAACTATAGTAAAGCAAAAGAAGCAGTCTGATTCTACATATTCTTAGTAAGCAGGGTCATGATTGAAAATATGATAGAAAATAGATAAAATTTCATTCATTCCTTAAACATATTTAATTCCTGGATTCAACTTGGCATATACGAAGAGAATTCTACCTAAAACATCAAAGTGTTTTTCAGCGACTTGTTGATTTGGTGGCTTGTAAGGATTATCAAATTTTTTACCAGTTTCTGTAACAAAAAAATGCATTTCTGATCTAGTTCTTGTAGTATCTTTTTCTATTTCTACCCATTAATCTCTATCCTTGAAAAAATCTTTCCATTCAGGATGCTATAGTTCTAAATCTTTTGTTCTACTTAAAAAATAATCTGTTTCATCTTTCTCTTGTTAGTCCCAAACTTCTTAAGAAGGTGATTAAACTCCATATATAAATTTATTTACTAACATATTATAAGTTTCTTTATTTTCATCCATTGTTTATTGCCATTTTCCCTTGTGTTTTGGCAAATACTCCAAAACTACTTTCCAAACAATAGATCTCAAACCAGGACAATCTTCAGGAATGCCATTAAAGCATTACTTTCTCAATTTACTCATATTTATCTAGTTCTTTTATAATATAGTTTTAAAATTCTCTATCTTCTCCTTAACTCTATTAGGAAGTTTTGATGTATCAAACTTATAAATATGCTCGATAGGGAAGAAATCTAAAAGATCTTGTTCTCCCTAAGAATCTTCTTCTTCGTTCTATTCTTCTTGCTCAACTAATTTCTATGCATCTTTCACTTTTTATAATTACTGATTGCTTTATTTGTCATTACTGATCTTTTTTTTATCCTTCTTCAAGTCATCCAATTCTTAAATTTTTTACTCCTCAAACTAATTTTTATCTTCCTGACCAAGTACTTTCTCTTTCATGTCTTTTACCGTATCCTTAATTTTATTTCCTAGCTTTCTAATAGCCTTCATTTATATTTGTGAATTTAAATATGAATATTAATTGAATGTCTTATCTCTTTCTAACAAAATAAATTATGTCAATCTAATTATTTATTAATTAATAAACAAAAATTTATATTAAAACTATGATTTGCTTAACTCTTAAAAAAGATTAATTTATTAATAAATAACTATTTGCTAGCAAACCCATTTTCCTCTAAAAATCTATCTTCTACTGAAAACAAATAAATCTTTTAAAATATTAGGAATTATCGTATGAATGATATCAAAAAAAAAAAATACAAATAATTAAACTCATGAATGAATGAACATCTTAATTTAATATTTAATTTGTTTATTAAGTTTTAAATTAACATAAAAACAGATTTCAAAAGCAAGTCTTTAAATAAATATAAAATTTTTTATAAGATTAATGTTTAAATAAGATTAAATTTTTTAATGATTTTTTATTATAGTCATCAAGTGTTTGTTTTTATTTCTAAGATTCCTTTTTACGATTAACAAGACGAGTTTTGTTCACATGATAAATTTTCTGACAATTCTATTGGTTAAGACAAATTAATGAATCAATCGATTAATTTTTTTATAATTAGAGGAAGGTCTTAAATTAATATTTTTTCATGTATCTATTCATAACTTAATTTTAAGTTTTAAAGATAATGAAAAATAAAAATAAACTCTTTTATATATCCTCCTCTTTTTTTGTCATAAATCATGATTTGTAATTTATGATTGAAAATTAGTTAGTTATTTACCAAAATTTAAGCTAGTCTCTGACTAAATTTCGTCTATTTCATTTTTGAGAGGCTGTGAATATGTCTCTCTTAATGGCAAATAGGCAATAATACTAATAAAACTGCATATTCCCATGATTCCGATGGGAGAAATATTTTAATTATTAAAATAAGTTACAATGTAAGCAGATACAGCACTGCCAATTTATCCAATAGTAGAAATAAATCCTAAGCCAAGAGATCTAATAGTGGTAGGATAAATTTCACTGAAATAGACATAGCATAAAGAAAACTAAAAAGACAGTAAGCACCTTGATAAAGAAATTAAAGCAATTTGTAAAATATTCTCTTTGCAATATTCTGTACAATTATCAGGTTTTTTGATAAAAAAGAATATTATATATATTAAACTATAAATAGCTGTTAATATAAAAGACCATTTTCTTCTCTTTAATTTAGGAATAGCAATAACTAATAACATTTTTATATTAAATTATATTCAATTAAAAATATTTATTTCCTTATAAAAATATTTTACCTACTAAACTAAATGCTAATAGCTCAGAAAAGGCTATTGCTAATGTATTATATTTCGTATCAAGACCAATTTAAGACAAAGTAAAATTAGTTCCATAATAAGAAATCTAAGTTATGAAAAATACAATCCCAGTGCAAATTGTTGTTAATCTCATAGATTTGAATTTTACTAAGTCAAAAACGCCATAAATTCTTTGATTTTAATTTTATTCTATTTCTCTCTCTTTTAAACTATCAGCTTAAACTTCTGGCCTTTTATTAAATTTAGCTATTTTATTCAAGGACTCTATGGCTTTCATTTTATTTTTTTCATATAAAAACCTTTTATTTAATTAAATATTGATTAAATAAATATACACCATTAAATATCTCACTTGAATGCCTTCTAACAAAATAATTTATTTAAATAATCCTTTAATGCATATATCAATAAAATTTTAAATATTTTTAATTATATTTAAGTGCTTAAAAGTTTTGAAGTATATAAAATTATTTAGTTAAAAATAAAAGTGAAATGTTTACAGAGGAGGTTCATAAATAAAATAATAGTAAATGAGGGAAACAAACATTGGAATTCCTATCCAATAAACAATTATTTAAACCCAGTTTGTGGAGAGAACATAGGCTACGACAAGATAAAAGCTTCCTATTGAATAGAATATATTAAGTGAAGCTGAAGTATATTCTCTGAAGTTGCCATCTAATTAATTAATTAATAATTATTTAATACATTATAATAAATCATTAGTTTGATAGATATAGACGAATTGGGAATATTAATTGTTAAATATCTAATTTTATTATTCTACTATTATATATAGATTTCTATCTATCTATAAATCGATTAATTAATTAGTAAATTAAGATAAATAGCGATTAAACCAAGTAAGTACTCAAAGGTTAATTAATAATTTTAGAAATCTCAAATAATGTAAATTAAAACCTGAATGCTCGTTTATGAAGCAAAAGTGTATTGTGATTGTAGGATTAACACCAGCATTTGCTAAAGAAAATCCTAATGCTGATAGCCAAATATTGTAGTTAAATATCCCAATAAATGCACAGCCAAGAGCTCCAATAAACCAGAAAATAATAGAAGCTATTTTCCTTCCTTTGTTATCTGATATGTAAATACTAATTAGAAATCCAATTATGCTTCCTCCATAATTTAAGGCAGCAACTGTATCAGCTATCCATTATCGAGAGCATATAAGTGGAGGGTCGAACTCGACAACAAACGAGCTAAGCTTTTTTACTTGATATTATAAAGGATTTTCTTATTGGCAAACCCATTTCTCACATTATTCAATTGTGAATTATGGATTTTATTAGCACTAAAACTATGGCTTCTCAAAGATAAAAATTGGAGACATAAGAAGACATCCTCCTAAAATCCACTAAAAACAAAAGAAAGCATAGGCCATTTTTTGGTACTTGCCTTAGTGACCTACTTTATGGAGCGCTTCTTAAATAGTAATTTATTCAGCTTGTAATTGTTAAGTAATAATATCTGACTTCATTTAAATACATTATTTATACTTTATTTATGATATATTACTTATATTCTTTGTATAGTTGATAAATTTTTGTTAATGCTATCCTATATTTAAACAAATTAAGATTTGATATTTAGTAATCTTTTACTCTAATATTTTAGGTACCTTAAATCAATACAAACAAATTTAATGGTTTTCTTCAAATACTGTTTTTATAATTCATTTTTCCAAATGCCTTCCTTTCACTGCAATTAATTGAAGGCATTGAACGAAATGTAAATTTTCAAATTGATAACTCTTATTCTAATTTTAGAAAAATACAAAAGTCTTTATATTTAAGTTTTATGGCTCTTTTTAATTAATTAGCTTTTATGAGAAAGTTAGTATTTAAAAGTTTTAAAAAATTCATGTTGGCATTTGAATAATTAATTTTAATTAATTTTAGCTCGCTCAAACATTAATTTTCTGATAAGATTTTAATATTATTTAATGAATTTGATTTAATTATCGTGTTTATATTTTCATTATTAACTATTTCTAATAAAAATTCTGTTTATAAATTAATGAAAACCACCAAAAATTAGAAAAAATATTGAATATTATATTTGAACGCTTTTTATACTATATATTTATATATTAAATACAATTTATGAATTTTATTGAATCTTGCCTTTACATACTTTTTCATAAATAATTTAATTTATTTTTTTTATTTTAAATTAAGCATAATCTAGGTATTAAAATATAATGCAATCCAGTTCATCATATTTTAATAACTGGATTAGCAATAAATAAAAAATATATTTCATAATAAGTCAGGCAAACCATGAAATTTTTGTATGGCATCTTGCTATAATTAGAGATATTACAAATTTTCCTAAAATTACAGAGCTAAAACAGAAAACTCTACTTATAAACATTATTTTTATAATATTTAAGAACATTAACTACTAGGTTTTTTTCAAATATGACTAAATAAATTACTGGTCATCTTTAATTCCTACTATTTATATTTTTAAGTATATTTTTTAAATACGAATATTAATTTTAAATAGTGAATGTTAAATTAATTTTCTGTGATATCTCTTCATAAAACCAAATATATAAATTAATATTTGATAATTAATTAATTATTATATTTATTTGTTCTTTTTAACCATTTATTATTAATTAATTAATTAAATTTCATAAATTGCTATTCAATATTTTTGAAAAAAAAAAAATGATATAATAGATTAAATAATATGATAATTTGGAAGAAGTAATTATTAATTTTTTAATTAATATCCTTTAAATTTACATAAATTAATAAAAAAAGTTTAAAAGCTCTTCACTTTTATCTCATTAGGTTCTCCATATTAATTTGAGGTATATTTAATTAAAAAAATTACTTTTATTATTATTAATATTTTTTATTTATTTAAATAAATAATTTTTATGAAAGAAATTATTAAATTGGTGCATTTGGTGCATCAGGCTTATGTTCTGCTTTAGCAAATTGCATTAATATCTCAAATTTGACACTTGACCTTAGGTAAAAACAATTTATTTGTTTTGGATTGTGATATTTTTAATTATAAAAACAAACTAATAAAAAACAATAAAGCTCTTTTTTCTTTTTCTTTTTATTGTGCTTGCTTTATTTTGTTCTTTCTTTGTTAATTTAGCTCATCATTTTATTTTCAACTTTTGCTTTTATTATTTATTTCTTATTATTTCATATTTTTTCATCATTTTTTCCTTCTAATTAACTATTTAATGATATATTTTTTCTTCAATATTTAAAAAGTGGAAAATAAATTGGTGCAATTGGTGCATCAGGCTTAGGTTCTGCTTTAGCAAATTGCATTAATCTCTCAAATTTGACACTTTAACTTTAGTAAAAACAGTTTATTTGTTTTGGATTGTGATATTTTTAATTATAAAAACTAATAAAAAACAATAAAGCTCTTTTTTCTTTTTCTTTTTATTGTGCTTGCTTTATTTTGTTCTTTCTTTCTTAATTTAGCTCATTATTTATTTTTCAACTTTTGCTTTTATTATTTATTTCTTATTATTTCATATTTTTTATTCATTTTTTCCTTCTAATTAACTATTTAATGATATATTTTTTCTTTAATATTTAAAAAGGTTTAATTAAATTGGTGATGAAGGTGCATCAGGCTTAGGTTCTGCTTTAGCAAATTGCATTAATCTCTCAAATTTGACACTTTTCCTTAAGTAAAAACAGTTTATTTGTTTTGGATTGTGATATTTTTAATTATAAAAACTAATAAAAACAATAAAGCTCTTTTTTCTTTTTCTTTTTATTGTGCTTGCTTTATTTTGTTCTTTCTTTGTTAATTTAGCTCATTATTTATTTTTCAACTTTTGCTTTTATTATTTATTTCATATTTTTTCTTCATTTTTTCCTTCTAATTAACTATTTAATGATATATTTTTTCTTCAATATTTAAAAAGTTAGAATTAAATTGGTGCAATTGGTGCATCAGGCTTAGGTTCTGCTTTAGAAAATTGCATTAATCTCTCAATTTTGACACTTGACCTTAGGTAAAAACAATTTATTTGTTTTGAATTGTGATATTTTTAATTATAAAAACTAATAAAAAACAATAAAGCTCTTTTTTCTTTTTCTTTTTATTGTGCTTGCTTTTTTTTCTTCTTTCTTTGTTAATTTAGCTCAATTATTTTATTTTCAACTTT